GCTGAGGGCAGCCGTGCACCGCGGAGTCCCAGGACTGGCCAATGCCCCTCCTCTCTAAGTCCGAGCTCAAATGCTGCCCTCCTCTCTGAAGCGCCCCCACCACCCCCCAGCTCCCTGGGGCTGAATTCTTCCTTCTCTTACCTGCATTCTCACCACAAGTGGTGAGGACCTGCTGCACCACGCGCTCAGCTCAGGCCGAGAGCAGTTGCCTGTTATGTATCTACCTATGCAAATCAACCTGGCTCTTTCAGGACACAGACTTTTTTGTTTGTTTTCTGAGACACATTGCCCAGGCTGGACTCGAACTCCTAGGCTCAAGTAATCCCGCTGCCTCAGCCTCCTGAGTTGCTGGGAAAGCAGGTGTGCACCACTGCTCATGAGCAGTGTGTCTTTTTCAAACCCTCACAGACTTATGAGAAAAGGAAGACAGAGAGAGTGAATGGGAGCATACCATATACATCTATAGCTAACCCCGTGACCTGGATTTTATTGATGTTGGATTGCCAAGCTAAAGAGCTGCAATTTTAACGGCATTACCGCCAGTCTTCATTTCAAAGATTGATATCGGTGTGACATTTAGAACTAAAGATTAATTTTTAGGGGTGGAGATTACATCTAGGAGTCTGTCAACCATGACTGTGCTCTTTTAAATGAAAAGATTTTCATCTGTACTGGTTTTAGTCAGTGTATTGAGAATGCCTCAAAAAAGGGAGATAAGACAGTTAAAAGGATCCCCAGACGCAATCTCCTAAATCTCTAATATTTGACAAACTATAAGAAAGATTACAACTCTTATCATTTTTTTTTTGAGACAGATGTTTTCACTCTTGTTGCCCAGGCAGAACGATGCAATGGGGCCAATCTCCAGCTCACCACAACCTCCCGCTCCCAGGTTTAAGCAATATCTATCCTGCCTGCCTCCCTAGTAGCTGAGCGACTGCAGGCCACCCGCCGATCTCAACGCCCAGCTAAATTTTGTAGTTTAGTAGAAGATCGGGTTTTCTCCATGTTGGGTCAGTTGGTATCAAACTCCCAAACTTCAGGGATTCGCGCGTGCCTCGCGCCTCCAAAAGCGTTGATGGATATTAAGGCGTGAGCCACCACACCCGGCTTAAATTCCTATATCCTAAAATTTTGTATTAAATCCCTTCTATGCGCACATGGACTTCTCAATAATTCAGCCTGCACAACTATGCCCGAGGAGCAAACGCTCCTTGCGCACAGGCAGGACCCTCCAGCAACATGGACCTCCCTCGTGGCGTCCGATCCTACCATGTCCGCCTCCCACTTTTTCTGCACGGTTATTCCCTCCGATCCACAGAACTCAATTCTCCTCCTGACCTCTGGCTGGCCATGCCCCTCCTCTCTAAGTCCGAGCTCAAATGCTGGGCCCTCCATTCTACTGAATGCCCGGCGCGACCTCACCCCCACCCCACCAGCATCCCTGGGGCTGAATTTCTTTCCTTCTCTTACCCTGTCATATCTCACCACCAAGTGGTGAGAACCCTGCCTTAGCACTCCATCCCTGCCAGCCTCAGCTCCAGGCCGAGAGCCAGTTGCCTGATTATAGTATTACCTACTGCAAAATATCAACCTGGCTCTATTCAAGGACCACAGGACTTTCTTTTTTGATTGTTGTTTTTCTGAGACACAGTTGCCGCTCAGGCTTGGACCTCGAACTCTAGGCATCAAGTAATACCCGCATGCCCCTCAGCCCGTCCTGATTGCCTGGGAAAGCAGGATTGCACCACTGCAACTGGCTCATTCTTTCACCCTTTTTATCCCAATCAAATATACACCTCAAAGACTGCCTAACAGGTAAAGGTCTGAAAGCACCCTGCAGCATGGCGACGACCCCCCATCCTCTCTTAAGAATACAAAAAATTAGCCAGGTGTGGTGCAACCCGCCTGTGGTCCCAGCCTACCTGGGGAGGGCCTGAAGTGAAAGGGCCACCTGAGCTCCAGGAGGACCGCTGCAGTGAGCTATGATCGCGTCACTGCAACCTCCCAACCTGAGCAACAGCGCAAGACCCTATCTTAAAAAAAAAAAAGCCTGGAAACAGCAGAGTAAGAGGGAAACTCCTCATTTGACAGGGCCCAGATAAAAAGGCAACAACCAAACCACTGACCTTGCCCTTGACAGGGCTGTGTGGTACCCAAAAGAATAACCATGATTTGTGAATCTGCCCTAAGAAAGATTCAGTGTAAGAATACTGTCCAGGAGCAAGTGACACATCTGGGGCTTGAAGCAAGCATGGGTACAGGACAGCAGCAGTCACCTGGAAAAGAATAGGTCAGTGCTCCCGGGAGCCTGTTTGGACAGAAGGTTAGAGCAAGCACTGCCCGGCTCTACCCTCGGGTCGCAACTGTGGTTAGAGTCGTTTCTTCCACGGAAGACTAACCTGCCGGCCATGAACATTGACACAGATTCTCTTGCGTAACACCAGTTGCATGTCAGCCGGGTGGCTGAGCTGGACCGTCACGCGCACGATCAGAAACAACCGCTCGTCCGTGGGCGTGCCTTTGCTGAGCTGAGGGCAGCCGTGCACCGCGGAGTCCCAGGAGGCTTCTGCTTTCGCCTGCAGAGAAGACAGAGAGGAAATAGGTTTCTCTCTTCTCCAGAAACACGAAAACTCTTTCAAGGAAACCACCTTGGCTCCGGCTGAAAGGGCATATGCCAGTCACCAGCGAAGTTCTACTATGACAGCTGCCCTGAAAAGACAATGGAGTGTGACAGTGTGGCCACAATCACCTTAGCCTGAAAAGTATAGGGCATGATGATCCCAGTTGGCTTACTTTTTAAAGTTTGTATTTAAAAATGCTCAAATGTCAAGAAAAGTTGCAAAAATTCAGTCGAGTGATCTGTAAGTAACCCTTTCATCACGATGCACCAACTGTTACCATTTGGCCACTTTTGCTTCTCTTTCTCAAAACTCACACACACACATTATCACTTTTGCTGAACCACTTTCAAGTAAGTTGCATATCATATCTAAGAAATTTAACAGCAATACATTATTATTTAATATAGAATCCATATTGAAATTTTTCAATTTTCCCATCCCGGAACCACACACTGCCTTAGTCATGTTCCTCTAGCCTACTCTAATCTGCAATAGCTCCTCAGCCCTTCCTTGTCCCTGCTGAACTGGAAGGGTGCCGGCCCACTGTTCACAGAATGCACAGCCGCTGTGTGTGTCGGACTGACTCCTCACTGTTAAGACTCAAGTTTTGCTTCTTAGGGACACTACTAAGTAATGATGTGTCCTCAAAGCATCACATACAGCTTTCCTTCCTGATTATTTCAGAATTTTTCAAACATACTCAAAATTAGAAAATAAACTCCTGTGAGATACCCATCGCTCAGATTCAACCATTAAAATCAAGATGTCACCACATTGCCTTCACCTATTCTTTTCCTTTTTAATAAATCCTGGCTAGGTGCGGTGGCTCATGTCTGTCATCCCAGCACTTTGGGAGGCTGAGGCAAGTAGATTACTTGAGGTCAGGAGTTCGAGACCAGCCTGACCAACATGGAGAAAACCCATCTCTACTAAAAATACAAAAATTAGCCAGGCTTGATGACGTGCACCTGTACTCACAGCTACTTCGGAGGTTGAGGCAAGAGGATCACTTGAACCCGGGAGGTGAAGATTGCAATGAGCTGAGATCGTGCCATTGCACTCCAGCCTGGGCAACAGAGTGAGACTCCATCTCAATTTAAAAAAAAAAAGTCCTGACAAAAGGATTTCAAAGCAAATCCCAGCCAGGCGCAGTGGCTCACACCTGTAATCCCAGCACTTTGGGAGGCCAAGACAGACGATCACTTCAGGTCAGGAGTTGAAGACCAGCTTGGCCAACATGATGAAACTCCATCTCTACTAAAAAAAAAAAAATTAGGTGGGCATGGTGGCACACACTTATAGTCCCAGCTACTTGGGAGGCTGAGGCAGGAGAATCACTTGAACCTGGGAGGTAGAGGCTGCAGTGAGCCAAGATCCTGCCACTGCACTCCAGCCTGGGTGACAGAGCGAGACTCCATCTCAAAACAAAAAAAAAACCAAAAAAACCCCAAAGCAAATCCCAAACCTGGTGCCATTTTACCTCCATGCCCTTCCGCAACCCGTGCTTCCATCTCTCACTGGTTGAGGAACAGAGAGAGCCTCAAGCTCCCGACTGCTGCTGACCTGAATTGCTCACAAAAGCTCAGTACAAGTTACCAGGAAAGGAAGGAAAAGGTGAATGGATATAATATGATGCTCAAGCTCCATTCTTCTGCAAGTCATGATGAAAGGTTTTCCTTTATGTATTTTGAGAAATGTAAAGCACTGGCATGATTGCCTTATTAATTGTTTCAAAAAGCTCGAGGAGAGGTTAAGTAAACCACTTTTCATCTGATTGTCCCAAGTTACGCTTTCCTTACCTCCCCATCATGCTGTTTCACAATCTGCAGTTCAAAGAACTCCTCTTCTTCTTCCCCAGTCAAGGTCGCATCCCATCCACCAGCTTCTGGGTCATCAAGATTATCCTGAGAGCTGAAATCATCAGCTAAAAGCAAAGAATTTCCATTAAATACTGAGATCATTTTCAAGGATAACCCCTACCAGCTAAATTTCAATGTGATTATTAAAATTCTTCTCCTTCAAATTTCGTTTACTTTTTGCTCTGAAATCTTACATGACACTGAAGATGACCATTTAAAAGTTCACGGATCTTAGAGATAAGAAAGTGCCTCAAAAAATGATCTCATCCAATCTGCTACATTTTTGCCTTATTTTATAGGGAAGAGAAATGAAACCAAGATACCTAAGAGGTTACCCAAGGTCATCTCATCAATATCAGTGACTGGGTTATAATGCAAATTCCCTACCATTTAGTGCACTGAAGGAGTGAGAAACGAGCCTGACAGTGACACTCAGCAGGAAGTTCCACTGGCTGTATGGGCTGGAAACAGAAGGGCTACACCATGGTCCCCTGGTTCCTCAGGCCTGAGCCTGGCCCTCCCCACTCCCCTTCACCTGGAGCTCATGGACAGACATCTGAAGTTCCTTTTCTAGGAGGTGGGCATGGGGAGACCGAGAACATGGACCATGCTGACCAAAGTCCTGATCATCCCCTCGAATGCCCAGACTAACGCGTCTTCCTTAAGCTTATTGTTTTTCACTTTTTTATGCACATACCTGCCTGCACCCAAATATGAGCACCTCACCTACCCAGGAAACCTAACAGAAGAACAGGCCAGAATCACCCTCAGGTGCCAAGTTCAAAACACCACAGCAGGATAAGGACTTGTGGCAAACATTAAAAAACAAACACCTTCCACCTGTTTCCATCAGGCAAACAGACAGTGGCTGTATTATTCGGTATTATTCTCCAACTCTATACATAGAAAAATCTTCCATGTAAATAAGCTAAGTGGCAGGAGATCCTAAATGCCTCAGAGATTGCATCTCGCTGTCAGCTAGGTGGAAGAAAATCCTGGAGGACATCCACACTCATCTATTAAGGAGAGTTAATGTTAATACACAGTTCTGCAGATGTTTTAGGAATTTAACTGCTGACTTTCAACTTATTTTTAGATCCTTAATCTACCTTTCCATTTTCTATTTTCCCTCCTACAGGCAGAACTCCTACAGGCAGAATATATGTAAAATGTATCCAGGCCCAAAATATTTTACATGGGGGTGAATGGGAAACATAAAAAAATGACAGTTTTTTTTGTTTTGTTTTGTTTTAAACAGGTAATACAGGGATGAATGGCACAAGAACTTATAGAAAAAGTGAAAAATTTATTAGATAATGCTAAGAAAACACCACGAGAAGGAAACATGCTTCATAAGTATCACTAGTTATTTGTCCTTTCCAGAGAGAAGTCTTTCCCTAAGAATTAAAGAGGCTGGGCGCGGTGGCTCACGTCTGTAATCCCAGCACTTTGGGAAGGCCGAAGTGAGCAGATCACGAGGTCAGGAGATGGAGACCACCCTGGCAAACACGGTAAAACCCCATCTCTACTAAAAATACAAAAAATTAGCCGGGTGTGGTGGCACACACCTGTAGTCCCAGCTACTCAGGAGGCTGAGGCAGGAGAATCGTTTGAACTGGGGAGGTGGAGGTTGCAGTGAGCCAAGATCGCACCACTCCACTCCAGCCCAGGTGACAGAGCAAGATTCCATCTCAAAAAAAAAAAAAATTTAAGAAAATATTTTCAGTGCAGAAGAACACTGCTACCATCCTAATACCGGGAGAGTAGAGCATCCACATGGCACTGTGAGCTGCAGGAATGAGAGGTGAGGAGCATTGTGAAGTGCGCCTATTACTGTCAAAAACATATTCGACTATGACATAGAAATCAGTCTGTCTACAACCAGGGGACTTGGACACACATCAAACTGGTTCTAGCCTTAGGAGGACAGAACTGCCTCATGATGCACTTGGTTGGAATCTACATGTTATGAGGCACTAAATTTTCAGAGGTAAGCCTTCAGAAAACACCTCCTAACTTACCGTTTAAGTCCAGGAATATAACAGGAATGTGTGTCTCCATCCCAGGCACTGGGGTCCTAAAACAGGAAGAACAAATGGCATCCGAATCAGGTTACTTTCTCAGTGGCAGGCACGTAGGAACACAGCCTTAATGGCATTCAGGGCTGTTAGAGGGCAAAGCGGTAACAACCCTGGCCCTGATTTTACTCTAATCCAGAATCAGAGAGGCCACAAAGCCTCCGCTGTAGCTGCTGCTTCGTACCCTGACATTTGAACTTAGCCTTATAAGACACCCGTACCTGTTTATAGTGAAGTTCTCTTGTTTAAACCTACTTTCTCATAAAATGATACACTTAAGGGCTCCCTCTGGCTAAATTTACTATTTTTAATTTCTATAAAGTAGCACAGAACATTTGCTGACAGCACAGTTTAAGCCAGCACCAAAACCAAAATCGCGTGGAGATGCAATTTTCTTATGACCGAGCAGTCTTCTAAGGGAATGACCCAAGTAATTAACATATTAACTATTTTTTTAATGCTAAGTGCAATGGTATTAAATATTGATTTAAGTTCTCAGAAATCTTAATGACTTTGGCCAATAACAACATTATTTAATAAAACAGTTTTAGGTCATAGTTACTCAACTCATGAAAATAATTTAACAGTTCCTTTAATTTAAACAACATTTCCCCCCATGCTATTATGACTCTTCCATTAACCGTGGCACACGCAAAATTCAAGCTAAAAGCAGATGGTCTGGTGAGCATTCAGAACCTCACAAGACACATCACAGGGTTCGTACCATTCTGCTGGGGCCCCTGGAATACCACTGCCAGCAGAGGGGACCATCACCGCGTTCCTCTCCTCAGTTAAGGTCAGCCGCATCTCCAGAAGCTGCGCTTCGCGGTCAGCATCATCCTCTGTTTTATCTAGAACACCAAGAATGAGGATTCAATGCCGAAACCTCACTTGCCATTTATCTTTTTGTCCCGAGTAAAGACTGGATTTGCCCATATTTCAGTTATTAGCTGACAAGTGCTTCCCAGTGATAAAAAAACCAACCCACAGCTAGGGAGGTCAGGTGGGCTCCTGCAGAGGACACCTTCAGTTCCTGGGAGGCCTACAGAGGGACCACACAGGAGTGACTGGTCCAGAGTCAGAGGACTCGAGCCCTCTGGGTAAGAAAAGTCACCACCTTCCTTTACATTATCTTTGAGGGACCACGTATGCTTTGTGTACCGTATTTTCTCTTTCTTTGTGAGAGGTGGGAGGAAGACCTCCACCAAGATATGACAGCTGGATAAACGGTATGACATAAACAAGGAGTAGCACTCATCTGTTCCTGCCATCCCCACTACTGATGTGTTCATCTGGTTCTTAACTGATGTGGCTACAAAGGGAGAATAATTAATTATGCACTGATTTGCAAGGGAGAAAAATATTCTATTCATTTTTCCTACCACGTTTACTGACAAGCTTTTGCAATTGTTGATCCAAGTACTCCTGACGTTTTGTTAATGCATTTAGCCATTTTCTACGAAGTCTCTCTAAATCTCGATCCTGGAAGCAAGCAAGGAAAATCATGTTCAATGTAATGTCAAGATAATCTATCTGAAACTGAACCTCCTATCTTAGAACCTTACTCTCCTATGCCTTGGAAAGGTAAGGTAGTATATAATAATTTATTACTACCACCAGTTGACTGCGCCCATCATTCAAAACAGCTATTTTCAGAATTTAAAGCATTATTTTCTTGAACAGAAAGGGCATTCTCAGGTATCCAGAACCAATTTTATTTCTAATGGCTTGGGGGTAGAACTTTAAGCACCTGCAACAAAAATCTTCTAAGAGGTCTCTTTGCTGGATAAAACCCACAAACAGGACTCAATAATCTTCCAATATGGCTGGGCGTGGTGGCTCACACCTGTAATCCCAACACTTTGGGAGGCTGAGGCGGGTAGATCACTTGAGGACAGGAGTGTGAGACCAGCCTGGCTAACACAGCAAAACCTTGTCTCTACTCAAAATATAAAAAATTGCCCAGGCACGGTGGCTAACACCTGTAATGCCAACACTTTGGGAGGCCAAGGCAGGCAGATCACCCGAGGTCAGGAGTTCGAGACCACCCTGCCCAACATGGTGAAACCCCATCTCTACTAAAAATACAAAAATTAACCAGGCATGGTGGCAGGTGCCTGTAATCCCAGCTACATGGGAGCCTGAGGCAGGAGAATCGCTTGAACTCGGGAGGCAGAGGTTGCAGTGAGCCGAGACCGTGCCATTGCACTCCAGCCTGGGCAACAAGAGTAAAACTTCATCTAAATAAATAAATAAATAAAAATTAGCTGGGCATGGTGGTGCGCACCTTTAATGCCAACTACTTGAGAGGCTGAGGCAAGAGAATTGCTTAAACCTGAGAGGCAGAGGTGCAATGAGCCAAGATCACTCTACTGCACTACAGTCCGGGTGGTAGAACAAGACTCTGTCTCCAAAAACCAAACCAAAACAAAACAAATAAAAAACCACTTTCAATTTATGTACCTTGGAATAATCAGACAAATCCTTTAACTTTTGTAACTTCTGCTTTCTATCAACATAGGCTCTCGAAGACATGTAAATGCTTCTCTCACTTGTTTTTGTGCATTTTGTGGGGTAACAGGTAGGGGAAAAGGGGACAGGGGTTGTCATTAACAGAATAACAACCTACCAGCCAACACCTACATGAATACCAATCTTACCTCATTTCCTTTTCTAATAAGGTTACAAGACTGGGTAGGTCAGTGGAATGCTGCAGATATAGTGTGTCTGGACTTTACTAGGGCACTTAACCAAATAGCCTATGACACTATTGTGGACAAGATGGAGAAACACGCGATACATCTACTTCAGTGAAATCACAGAGGACTCAAATATCACATCCAAAGAACAGTGATTAATGTCAGCTTGAAAAAAGTCTCTATTGTTGTGCCATAGGACTCTGTATTTAACCCTATCTGATACAGTGTTTTTATCAGCAACTTATAGGAAAGCAGACATTTCTATCAAATTAGAATGATGTAAAACCAAGAGAGTGACTACACAGATGACATAATCAGGCTCCAAAGAGCCCTGACAGTCCTGAACAATGACTAACAGATGAAACTGCACAGACAGAAACAAAATCTTTAGAAGGTTAGGAAAAGAAAGTAAAAAAACAGATTGCAAATGCTGTATGATTCCAGGAAGTGGGGAAGAAAGATCTGGCTTAAAAAATGCAAAATACGGCCGGGCGCGGTGGCTCAAGCCTGTAATCCCAGCACTTTGGGAGGCCGAGGCGGGTGGATCACGAGGTCAGGAGATCGAGACCATCCCTGGCTAACATGGTGAAACCCCGTCTCTACTAAAAATACAAAAAACTAGCCGGGCGTGGTGGCGGGCGCCTGTAGTCCCAGCTACTCGGAGGCTGAGGCAGGAGAATGGCGGGAACCCAGGTGGCGGAGCTTGCAGTGAGCCGAGATCGCGCCACTGCACCCCAGCCTGGGCGACACAGCGAGACTCCGTCTCAAAAAAAAAAATGCAAAATACGGCCGGGCGCAGTGGTTCACGCCTATAATCCCAACACTTTGGAAGGCCGAGGCAGGTGGATCACAAGGTCAGGAATTCGAGACCAGCCTGGTCAACATGGTGAAACCCCGTCTCTAGTAAAGATACAAAAAATTAGCTGGGCTTGGTGGCATGCACCTGTAATCCCAGCTACTCGGGAGGCTGGGGCAGGAGAATCGCTTGAACCCGGGAGATGGAGGTTGCAGTGAGCTGCGATTGCACTACTGCACTCCAGCCTGGGCGACAGGATGAGACTCTGTCACAAAAAAACAAAAATATGCAAAACACCTAGTGTTGACTGAAGCTCAGATTGACACAACTATAATAAGGGCAACGAGTGGTGACTCACTCAGGACAGAAAATGTCCAGGAAAGAGCATCCGGAGAAAAGGATCTTTGGGGGCCTGGCTGGGGAGCTCCAGATTTGGAAAAGGATCTCAGTCACAAATGATTTCCCACTCCTAAAACACTTTACGGTCTATGAAACAACACTCAATGTTCCCTACTCTGTTTTACTTTAAAACAACAAAAAAAGCAGTATGAATTGTTTAATCCTTAAATAACAGTATAGCCAGATCCAGGAATGTGTAATTATATACTTTAAACATGCTTATTTGAGATGAGATTAACAGGTGCTAAATTACCTGGTAGCTGTCCATGTCTTCCTCTTCCTCCTAAAAGAAAAAAAATACATTACATAGAACTGAATTATTGATTTATCCAAGAATCAGGCTATGCTAAGCAATCTGACTCTTTACTCATAATTTATATTTTTCAACTGAATTAATATACTATTTCATCTCCCACCTACCCACTCCCTCACTCTGGGTTTTACAGTTGTCAGGAAGTTGGAGCCGCTCACAGAAGAGTGAAGAACACTCATTTGACCTTTTCGGGAACCAGTGCAATGCTCTCCCTGCTGGGTTTATAGTCCCACTCACCAGGGGAAATCAAACACCTGCTGGCAAATAGTCTTTACAAGCCAGTAGGGGGTTTCTCCAGAGGGGTGGGGTGATGTTGAGGAGTTAATCACTAGCAGACACTGTGGAATCTGTGGAGGCAGAGACGTTTTAACCCTCAGCTTGCCACCTACACCAGGGCAAAACCAGTAATATAGTTCGATGCAATGATTCCATGAAAATGTAAGACACAAAAAAGGACAGCAAAGGTAAACAAAGAGGTTCACAGAAAGAACTGTTCACAGAAAGTAGTTTTCGTACAGGTTCCAAAAGGCACTCTGGTCTGATTTTGTCTTTCAAGAAGAACATAACAGGCATAGCAACTTACATGGAAGATCTCATGCATTCTGGGGGTTCTGAGCGGTCTAATTTTGACACATCCAATGCCAACAGACAATATACATTCTTCCATCAGTGGTAAAGTCCCAGATTCCTGCACTGACTTCACTTCGACTTGAACTCTCCGGGACTGCCCCTGGGTCACAGACAATTTAGAGTCTTAAAATCAGTTTCTTGATTTCCAAAAATTTGGTTTAGAGAGACCCCTACAGGCTGATGTTGAGAAAAATGTTCAATTCGGACACTATCACCATACCTTATTGTTAAGCATTAAAATACAAATTTAAAAACTAATTAGAAAAAATCATTTCCCTTTTAAGTGAGCTAAAAAACAGAATATATGTTTACATATTCTTTCAATAAGAAGTAACATTAAAAAAATTCTAACAAAGGAAATGCAAACAGTTGGCCAATAAAAAAGTTCAACTTACTGATAAATAAATACATCCAAATTAAATTAAAGCATGATACACCTGTATTTTCACTTCCTAAATTGGCAAATATATTTTAAAAGGGGAATTTCCAATAATGCCCTACATTTATGAAACAAACAATTTCATACACTGTAAGTGGGAATTTAAAATGGTGCAAGTTTTCTGCAAGGCAATTTGACTTAAAAACATATAAGTTCCTTTAACCCAGCAATTTGACTTTCTAGAGAGCTAAGTAAATAATCATGCATATACACAAAAAATCTTAAGCACTTTTAAGAACAAAAAATTAGACGCAAATTGAATGTATAGTATTGGTAACTTTAAATTGTGAAACATATAATAAAACACTATACAGTTGTTAAAGTATTACTGTAGAAAAACATATGACTTGTTAAAGAGTAAAGCACCAGTAAATATAAATATAAATATAATATCAGTAAATATAAATAAATCAGTATCAGTAAATATCAGTAAATATATTATGTATATAATTTGTATATATAATATATAAAATATAATTTACTGATATAGCAGTATATGTCATAAATATAAATATATTAATTGTATAATTATAAACATAATAATCAGTAAATACAAGTATGACTGTTTAGACTGTTTATTGCATGGGACTTGCTATATATTTACAATGAAGCAATATTTTAAAAGAGAACTCACAGTATTCCCAAATTACTGACTTCAAACTTGGTTTATAAATTTTAGAAATGTAAAATAGCATTTGAAAAATGGAATTTAAATGTTCAATTGCAAGTCAATTACTCTTGCCCTCTTCCATCAGATTTTAGTTCCCAAGAACTCTGCATGATCAGGAAAATCAGCTAAGGCAACCAATGATCCTATCAAGCTCCATTTGAATGGATGGGATACAGATGTTTTCTGATTTAGTATCACCAAGGACTAAGCCTCAGATATTTTGTGGGAAAAGTCCTAAAGAAAATATTTTAATAGCCTAAACAGTTTTGTCATTTCAATTAGCTACCTTTTATTTGCTTAGTTTGCCTAAGCACTTTCCAAAGTGATCTATTTTGAATCTGTGCCTAAGTGTGAAGGGTGAAGTGTGCACTTTAAGGGAAGATTCCTAGGGAGAGGGAAGAAAAGGAGAGAAAGGATCCGGCAATCGTTTACTGTTCCACAGAACAACGTTTAAAAGTACACTTAAACTATTAGAACTTCTGTCACTGCTGATATTTGACCATTTATTTCTACAAAAACAGCACTTTTCACTTGGTTAAAGTTAATCAGTTGTCCTCCGCCACCTTCCTGTTCAAGAACAATACAACCCAATTTTCAAACATACTACACTCAAATGAGCCTAGCATTCAAGGCCCTCCGAAACCAGCTGCCACATGCTTCTGCAACCTCTTCTCTTCTGTTTTCCAGCTCTTTCTCCACATGACTTTTTATCCAAATGGACCTAATTTCTGGCCTCTGTGTCCTTAGTATCATTAAGTTGGTGCAAAAGTAATTGCGGTTTTTGCCATCATGTAATAAAAATCCTTTCAGAACTTGATTTTTTCAGCATCAAGGTAAAGAAGCATATCCTTCAAAAAGTCCTTTCCTGACAAACCAACATTTCTTTGAACACTTTTAGTAAAGGGTGTCAGAAGTCTGACAAATACTTAAATATCCAATTTATACTAAATCACAGAAAATTATCCAGTCTTGCCTTCCAGTAGATGATTTTCTAAGGCTTCGAAGAAGACATATATATTTTTTTAACAGATGCCCAGAAAAAGATGTTCTTCACACCCTTAAGAATTCTATTTTATGGCCGGGCGCGGTGGCTCATGCTTGTAACCCCAGCACTTTGGGAGGCTGACGCGGGCAGATCACTAGGTCAGGAGACAATCCTGGCCAACACGGTGAAACCCTGTCTCTACTAAAAATACAAAAAAAAATTAGCCAGGCGTGGTAGCGAGCACCTGTAGTCCCAGTTACTTGGGAGGCCGAGGCAGGAGAGTGGCATGAACCTGGGGGATGGAGCTTGCAGTGAGCAGACATCGTGCCACTGCACTCCAGGCTGGGCGACAAAGCGAGACTTCGTCTCAAAAAAAAAAAAAAAAAAAAAAGTATTATATTTTATGTGTATAACGCATGCTTTAATTTAAACTAATCTCCTTTCACTTTGCTAAAATTTATTTGCTGGGGTCAGAGAACAAGTGTTTATCATCCTCCTCCTCTTAAAACATTCCAGAACTTAAACATTTAAGCAAATGTTCTCTTTCCTTCAATTTTCTCTATTTTGCTTTGAAAGCTTTCTACGCTCATTTTCTAGAGCGATTCTAGTGTTTTACTACTGTTTTAAAGTATGGAAACTCACAGAACATAGCAGTCTCCTAAACAATGCATTAAGGTATAGCAAAAAAAAAAAAAAAATTCCAAATCCTGTATACAAATTAAATTAAAAATTTCCCTGTTGGTTGGCAGCACAGACTCTGCAGATGCACGTGGGGTTACGTGGCCACTCCCATATTCTTCTCTGCTCTGTGGATTCTGGCATGTGTATTTACCCAACTGCGTGTACTTAACACCTGGCATGTCAGGCCCTATGCTTTAAACACGCATCTCTCTTAATCCTCACATTAATCCTATGAAGGTGGTGTTATCATCATATCTACATAACAGGCGAGGGCGAGAGGTTATTGAACTTGCTCAGGGATAGACAGCTAAGACACTGGAGAGCCAGAATTGAGCCCAAGCATTTTAGAGTCTGAATGCTGATTTTTTCTGCCATGTCACATAGCTTCTCCTTGTCTTCCTAAATGTTCTAAAGCTGTTTGATATGTTTGGCGTACGTCCTACAAATCAATTCTAAGTTTTCCTTTAACCTTTCTCTTACCTAAACTAACAGAACTAGTTTTTAAAATATTATAAATAGCAATACTTGACTGAGAGCAGTGACTCACACCTGTAATTCCAACACTTTGGAAGGCCAAGGCGGGAGGATCGCTTGAGCCTAGGAGTTCAAAACCAGCCTGGGCAACAAAGCGAGACCCTGTGTCTCTACTTTAATAAAAGAAAAAAAAAATTTAATAGTAATACTTGTGACACATGAGATAGGAAAATTTTAATGTAAGAAATGGACTCAGTCAGTCTAGATTTCATTATTACCAACATTTCTGCTAAAAAGAAGCCAATATTAAGCTTTCTGGCACCAAAGAATCTAATATAAACATTTACGATTCTGTTACCTGCCGAAGCTGGAAGATTCCTCCTGTTGGGACATCCTTAGCAGAAATCACTTCTACAGGGCAGTATTCACCATTCTCATTCTGTTCCAAGATTTGAACCCAGAATTCCAATTTCCTGGTCACTTCACTCCATCTAGGAAATAGGTGAAGTTCTTGAAAAATCATACATTTCTATTTCATTACAGGCAGCTTAGGGTCCTACACACATAAGAATTAACAACCAAAATGACCTCCAAACAGCGTAATTCAGAATGATCTGCAGTTCAATGAGTATCATGCATGTACATACTGGCAAGTATAATGGAAAGCAAAGTTAAACTCACAGTATTGGAACTAGAAACGACTCCTTTACTTTGTTCAAAAAGATGTAATGACAAATCTATTTCAGAGTCGTTACTCAAAAACTGGAAATTCTAATCGGATGTACAGAAGTAGCAAGTACACAGCCATAAAAAAATACAACCAAATAAAATCACGTCCCTTCCAGCAACTTGGATACAGCTTGACACTGTTACCCTAAGCAATTTAACACAGAAACAGAAAAGCAAAAACCCCATGTTCTTACTTATAAGTGGGAGCTAAACACTGGGTATTCACGGACAAAAAGATGGCAACAAAAGACACTGGAGACTCCCAGGGGTTGGGGAGCAGGGAATGAGTAAGGGTTGAAAAACTACCTACTGGGTACTATGCTCACTACCTAAGTGACAGGATCAATCATATCCCAAAGCTCAGCATCACACAATATACCCAGGTAACCAACCTGCACATGTACCCCCAAATCTAAAATAATTTGAAACTATTAAAAAAAAAAAAGGAAAAAAAAAAAAGCAAATACAGGGGTTGTCTTTTCATAGATAGACAAAGGTAGTACCATATGCTTCAGTGATTTGCCAAGTATTTTTCTCAGGTCAGGAAGAGAATCAAGAAAAAAATGTCAAATGTCACTTTCTAATTTAGTATTTGCTAAACTATCTAAATGCAAAAAAGTCTGGTTTTCATCTCTAATTAGATGAAAAGCACAAACATATGCAATTTCATTCATTCCCTATTAACGCTTTCTTTTAAGTCCACAAAGAAGCCTACCTCTTTCCAACACTGATGCCACTCAGAGCTATGAGCTAAAGACAAAATGTCAACACTAGAGTGAATCTTGATCCATCCTCTCTACAGCTGATTAATTAGAAGTAATTCATAATAGTAAGTCACTATTCTCCAAAATTCATTTCACTGTTTCTTCTTAACCAGCTACAAACTGAACTTTCTTCCATCATTCTCTGCAGTTCACTTCCCTAAGGAAGTTTAATTGTGTGAATAACACCCTGGAGACACCGCCATCCCTCCAGGGAACACTGGTCATGCTCAGGAAATAGTAACCTTTATAAACGGCAGTACTAATTTCCAGCAATTTTTAAAAATTCTAAATGGAATCTGGCCAGGCATGGTGGCTCACACCTGTAATTCCAGCACTTTGGGAGGCTGAGGTGGGCGGATCACTTGAGGTCAGGAGTTCAAGACCAGCCTGGCCAACATGGTGAAACCCCGTGTCTACTAAAAATACAAAAATTAGCCAGGTGTGGTGTGCATGCCTATAATCCCAGGTACTCGGGAGGCTTAAGCAAGAGAATTGCTTACTCCCAGGAGGCAGAGGCTGCAGTGAGCCAAGATCGTGCCACTGCACTACAGCCTGGGTGACAGAGTGAATGAGACTGTCTCAAAAAATAAAAAAAAAAAAAATTACATATATATATAAATGGAATCAGATGAACATCTAATATTCACCTGTCCCGAAGACTACGTGTCTTTGCTTGGATGATTCCCAAATCCCACAGGGCAGGGTTTTTCCGGGGATCATTTATCTTATGTCCATATACTTCGATTGCCAATGCTCCTTCGGAAAGATGCTCGATAAAGTCTTCAGTGATGTTAACAGAAAACTCCTGAAACACAATAGCTAATTACAGAAGAGCAAACTCTTTCTGGTAATCTTATGATTGTTTATACCAGACATCACATACTTAATTATATCAGGGAAAAAAATAGAAAAACGGAATGTTTTAGTTATACAGAACTATCATCTAAAACCCATAATGAATGCTCGGATGGCAAAAGGTTGACTTTAAACATAACTATAAGTCTGAATTTTTAAAAACTTTTCAGATCAAAAGGCTAGTATGTAAGACCAGCATTGTATTCTATTTTGTTAGCAATATTTTGGGAGCTATTTTTAAAAGCATAATTGTATAAAGTGTTACAACACTGATCTATAATGTGTTGATATAAAAGTTATATGCAATAAGGTAGTGTGTTGCAAAAACATTTCTTCCCACTTTTTAGAAAGTTAACTATCTCTATGAGGAAAGAAACGAAATAAAAATCATTAGCACCAAAAAAAGACCTAATTTGTAAAAATTCTCCCAGCCTGTCCATCTTTATAAGATAACATATGGCAATTAGGATTTAGCTCTAAAACAGTTTATTAAAGAAATCACAGAATCTCCTATCTCTGTTGTTGTCTCCACCTCTCTGTCTATCTTCAATGCACTGAAGTATTTTGGTTTCAAATGGATTAGAAAGAGGACTCTCTCTTGAAAGAGATGAAATGGATCAAGTGTGGTGCAGGAGCAAGAAAGACTGGGGGACCCAATAGTCCACATTCTGCTGGTCACCAGCCACAGACAAACCAGTGAAGAACTACTTTGGGCAAAATGACCTCTCTGATTTGTTCGTGTTTTCAGCTGGGAAGGAAAGAAAAAAAAAAAAAAAACCACACACACACACACACACTATCGGCCAGGTGTGGTGGCTCATGCCTGTAATCCCATCACTTTTGGAAGCTGAGGTGGGCAGATCACTTGAGGTTGGGAGTTCAAAACCAGCTTGGCCAACATGGTGAAACCCTGTCTCTACTAAAAATACAAAAAAATTAGCCAGGCGTGGTGGTGGGCACCTGTAATCCCAGCCACTTGGGAGACTGAGGCAGGAGAATCGCTTGAACCCGGGAGGCAGGGGTAGGAGTGAGCCAAGATCGTGCCACTACACTCCAGCCTGGGTGACAGAAAACAAAACAAACAAACACAAAAAAATGCACTATCAACAAAGACAACTGCAGTGAGGATCCAAATGAAGGAATAACAAAGAGCTTCACAGAGCATTCAGTGCCCAATAAAGTTAGTTCTTCTGTTACCTATGTTCACTTTCTCTAAAATATGTTTCTTAACTGTTTTAGATAATTTCTCCAATAATCTAATATAGGACATAGATTTTCTTTGGAGAAGAATATGCATATATACATACACATGTATTTGTTTCTCACGCAAAAGCTACCTTTGGGTTGTGGAGGAGTATAGATGCATTGATGCTTTTTACTCAATCCCCACACTCTACAGAAACTTCTACAACACATATACTGGTACAATTATTCAAAGAAACAAGGGTCATTTTCTGTTTTGTTTTTACATAAGTAATCTAAATGCTGACCTACTCTGGAAAACAAACTCACATTGCAATGATCAAAGACAACCATGCAGTGCGGCTCCTTGCTGACGGAAGATGAGGAGGTGTCCACTTCAGGAGCGACAATCACCGGCTCCTGTTGATCCCAGAAGCTGTATTTGCAGAACACAAAGTGGGACAGATGCTGTGGCAACCCAGTAGCTTGGAGGATTTTAACCTGAAGGAAAAAGAAGGCTGTGTGTTTTGAAACCCAAGGGTTCCAACAAGCACTCGGAGTCAGAGTTGCAGGTTCCAGTCCCAGGTCTGTCACTAATTTAGGTGCTTATGTTTATGTTGGCCAAATCCCAACCACCCTGAGACTGGACTTCTGCATCTGGTAAATAGTGGTAGCAATTATTATATTTAGTGAGAGGGTGGACGCAGGGTTACAAGGACCTTGACTACAGAGGTGGACGTTGTAAAGTCTAAGAACATTTAGATGTTAGTTTCTCAGAATACAAGAATCATCATCATCAATTCAGATGAAGAAAGATCTCAAACATCAGCACTCTTCAATGATATGAACTTGGCCAACCACAGATGTGCCATAGAACAGAACAAGATTGTCAGGCACAGCGAATGAAGAACAAAATCAATGTATGTGCCAAGAAACAACAAATATTAAGGAAAGAGCAAAACATGGATTTGATATTTTGAAGTATAAAAAGGAACAAGGTTCTCAGCTGAAGATTTTACACGATACTACAACATTGTTTGGGAGAACTTAAAAGCACCAGAAATGTATAATTTAAAGATGTGGGGGGAGAAGGAAGGGAAGTGAAGATGGTGAATGTTGACCATTTTCTGCACCGTTTACGGAAAACCTTCCCTATGCAGATTTGCGGGGAAGGTGTATCAAAGGAAGCGTGCTCTGGATCAGGAGGGCAGGGCGTGGTTGTAACAAGGTGCAACTGGAGATACATGTCTAATCAGACCCAAAGGCCCCAGAAGAAACGCCTATAACAGTTTCTAAGCAGCCAAATATTCTCTCTTTTTTTTGAGATGGAGTCTCGCTCGCTCTGTTGCCCAGGCTGGAGTGCAGTGGCCGGATCTCAGCTCACTGCAAGCTCCGCCTCCCGGGTTTACGCCATTCTCCTGCCTCAGCCTCCCCAGTAGCTGGGACTACAGGCGCCTGCCACCTCGCCCGGCTAGTTTTTTTGTATTTTTAGTAGAGATGGGGTTTTACCGTGTTAACCAGGATGGTCTTGATCTCCTGACCTCGTGATCCACCCGTCTCGGCCTCCCAAAGTGCTGGAATTACAGGCTTGAGCCACCGCGCCCGGCCCCAAATACTCTTAATATTTCTTTTGGTGGGCAGCATTAGATTGATTTTTTTTTTTTTTTGAGACAGGGTCTTGCTGTGTTGCCCAGGCTGGAGGGAGTGGCACAATCATGGCTAACTGCAGCCTCAATTTTAAGGGTTCAAGCGATCCTCTAGCCTCAGCCTCCCGAGGAGCTAGGACCACAGGTGTGCATCACCATGCCCAGGTAATTTTTTTAATTTTTAGTAGAGATGAGGTCTCACTATGTTTCCCAGACTGGTTTTGAACTCCTGAGCTCAAGTGATCCTCCTGCCTCAGCCTCCCAAAATGCTGGGATTATAGACATGCCTGGCCTGGGTTGATCTTTAATTTGGAGTTTTTGTGATAAACTGCGATATTCTAAAACTTCTCCAACCATAAAGAAAATGAAATCCTGAAGTCAGTTAAGCTAAATTCTGACTTGATAACTGATTAAACCAATTTTCACATGACTGAGCATTCATCATAAACGATATTTTTCACTTGGTCACTTTCTGCATGTTGTATGATTTAATCTACCTCCAGTAAATGTATTTAATGAAAATAAATCTGAATATATGACGTAAGAGTTCATGTAGTTCAGAAACCACAAACATGACCCTAACATTTCAGGCTATAATCCCAGCACTTTCGGAGGCCAAGGATCACTTAGGTCAGGAGTTTGAGACCAGCCTGGCCGACATGGTGAAACCCCATCTCTACCAAAAATAGAAAAATTAGCCAAATGTGGTGGCACATGCCTGTAGTCCCAGCTACTCCCGGAGGCTGAGACACGAGAATCGCTTCAACCCAGGAGGCGGAGGTTGCAGTGAGCAGAGATCGCACCACTGCACTCTAGTCTGGGTGACAAAGAGAGACTCTGTCTCAAAAAACAAACAAGCAAACAAATAAAAACACATTTCGGGAAGCATTGATAATGACACACAAAACTACACAAACCAGATAATTTTATTTTCTTCCATACCAGACACACCAGCAACAAACAGGAACCCCCATTATAATTCATCTTTTCTGTGATGTCAACAGGAGTTTGAAACATCTAGATAGCTACTTCCTGACAGGCTACGAAAGACAGACTGGCTGACATATTTTATTCCTCCAAACCAAACTGAGCAAACAGTACTCTGCAATTAATTATTCCACCAAGTTTTTAAAAACCATCATTTTCTCATTGTTTTTAAATATTTATCTTATTTAAGGTACAGCAATATGGCATTTGGGAAAATTACAAGACGTTGGAGTTACATAAAATAAATAGAATAAATATCTCGGCCGGGCGCCGGTGGCTCACTCCTGTAATCCCAGCACTTTGGGAGGCCGAGGCAGGCGGATCACCTGAGGTTGGGAGTTCGAGACCAGTCTGACCAACATGGAGAAACCCCATCTCTACTAAAAATACAAAAAATTAGTTGGACGTGGTAGCACATGCCTGTAATCCCAGCTACTCGGGAGACTGAGGCAGGAGAATCGCTTGAATCCGGGAGGCGGAGGTTGCAGTGAGCTGATCACGCCACTGCACTCTAGCCTGGGCAACAAGAGTGAAATTCCATCTCACACACAAAAAAAGAAAAAAAAAATCTTGCCCACTTATTAGCTTGTGTGCTGGCTCAAATAACTCAAATTCTTAGTTTTCTTAGGCTTAGTTTTCTCCTAGGTGAAATGGGAATATCAGTAGCTAACTTACTCAACAGGGTTAAGACTGACCACACCAATGGAATGAAATAAAAGACACCTGTAACTTTTTTTTTTTTTTTTTTTTTTTTTTGAGACAGAGTCTTGCTCTGTCACCCAGGCTGGAGTGCAGCAGCGCAATCTCGGCTCACTGCAAGCTCCGCCTCCTGGGTTCACGTCATTCTTCTGCCTCAGCCTCTCGAGTAGCTGGGACTACAGGTGCCCACCACCACGCCCGGCTAATTTTTTTGTATTTTTAGTAGAGACAGGGTTTCACCGTGTTAGCCAGGATAGTCTCGATCTCCTGACCTTGTGATCCGCCCGCCTCGGCCTCCCAAAGTGCTGGGATTACAGGCATGAGCTACCACGCCCAGCCCTGTAACAGGTATTGAGTAGATACATGTTCAATACATACTTCTTTGTGAGTAAATGCCATCTGAAAGCCTTTTTTTCCGTTCAAAATTAATCACAATTTTAATGTTAAAATAGACAAGAAACAAGATTTAATACGCTGAACTCTCGTCTACAGGCAACCTCTCAGGAATGCGACTGCCAGGAAAGAAGACTATTTGCCATAAGAAATGAACACAGGCTGTTTGGGTTTTGTGGGGTTTTTAAAAAATTTTTTGCACACAAAAACTAAAACCACCACAAGGTGTCAGAATACTACAGACTTCAACTTGCAGCTGTTCAAGACAGAGGACAAATGTCTGCAGGGATTGATGCTTGTGCCCAGGTTTTAAACATACAAACTTTACTTCATATCAGTGAAAACATGAAGATGTTAATATGTGCATATAGCCTTGTTACCAAAAAACAAATCCAGACTTCTTTGGGGGCTAATTATACTCATCACCCATGATATCTTAACTGTCCCCAGGCTGGTTTCTTTTGTTTTTCTACCACCGTTTTATTTATTGTCATACAGCTTATTTGTCCTCGTCCTTTTTACATAAAAGGCTATTACATGCCAGTATATGGTCTCTAAAAACCACTTCCCACTGAAAGGAATCAGGTTCCTTGGAGAAATGGCTGATTCCAGGTCTGGGACAGGAAATACACAAGATGAGATCAGAATATTCATCACACCAGAAAACAAGAAAGCTATCCCAGTCCAGGAAGGTTAAAGTTATGACAACAGGACTCAAGGGCCAACTGAAGTGGCTCCCACTGGCCAAAGACGGGAACATTTGTGTTTAAATACAGGTAGTGAATGCAACAGATAGACACACACCAAATATGGTTAAGTCCAAGAGTTCATAATCATGCTGTTAAGACTAAGGACAAAAAAACCCCACTGGTCACATTTTGGAAAACCAATTTATTATTTTAAAAATTAGGCTGGATATGGTGGCTCACACCTGTAATCCTAGCACTTCGAGAGGCCGAGGAAGGTGGACCACTTGAGGCCAGGAGTTCAAGACCAGCCTGGCCAAGATAGCAAAACCCTGTCTCTACTAAAAATACAAAAATTAGCTGGGCATGGTGGCACAACTACTCAGAAGGCTGAGGCGAGAGAACTGCCTGAACCTGGGAGGTGGAGGTTGCAGTGAGCTGAGATCACACCACCGTACTCCAGCCTAGGTGACAGAGTGAGACTCTGTCTTAAAAATAAAATAAACAAAATTTGTAAATAAAGGGAGAGATGGAGCATTTATCCTTCCTTTTCTATATAAATTATCTCTGTAGAGCAAAACAGTTGATAATAGGAAGATTTTCTCCGGAGAAAAATGAAATGACAATAGAATTATAGCACCATTCTTTTGTAACTCCTAACAAAATAATACATCTAGGTAATAATCATCAGTGGCTGATCATCCCCAAAAGACAAACAGCCAGACAAGATGTGGCTCCTGATGGAAGAACACAGGCCACCACCTACAGAATACCTTGGCTGCCTCCCTCCCTCCCTCAGGTAACACGTGTATACCTAACTACCAATTTTCAGCAAAGCATCTTAACATGCTAAGTAACACCAATCAGCAGAATCCAGACTATAGGAAACTACAGGTCAACAACCCAGTTTCTACAATAAATTGCAGGTTTGGTGAGAGAGGCAAAAAGAGAAAGTGAGCAAGTCAGACAGCACGAGCATATCAGAGCCTAAAGATTCAAACAGACCCAAGAGACATACCAACCAAGACAATTAAGGAAACTGACAATTTTATGATATTAAGAAAATGTTAATTTTTGACAAATTACTAATTTTGACAACTATGGTTATATTGGTTTAAGGACTCATCTTTTGGAGACACACACTGAACTATTTACAGATAAGATACGATGCTGGGGTGCCTGGGGTGCTAAGAGAAGGGGCAGCACAGAAGTGGCTGCGTGTATGAATGAAACAAGCTTGACCACAGGTGATAACTGTGGAGTGAAGGTGAATGGGGATCAGTAACACATTTCTCACTATTTTTGTATATGTTTGATATCTTCCATTAAAAAACATGGTATTTTAACTTCATTTCAGGAAGCCCATATTACTCAGAATGTACGACTTTTTTTCCGTAATAAGGATACATTTCCCAAGTGAGAAGTGTCCTTATATGTTATTTTACTTTAATAGCAGAAGGTGATATTTGAAAGTTGCATTTACTAGTCCATCACCTTTAAAATGGGCCATTGTGGGGTCATCAACCCTATGTCTCCATCTCTGATCATCATATGACTCAAAGAAGCTGCTCTGAAATCAAGTACAATATAATAAAAATGAACCATTCAGTGAATTAAGATTCCTCCACTTCCTAGTGAAGTAACTGAAACACCAGAAGCCCTCTCAATATATGCGAAGCCTTACAGAAAGCAGCCTGACTCCAACAGCTCCAGCTTCATGCTACTTGTGGCTCACATGTAGCTTACTCCCTTCAACATCAGCTTCAATTCTAAAAACGTTTACTGGGAAAGAGGACTGGTTCTAGGATGAGCTATGAATTAAGAGTCAGGTTTAGGCTTCCTTTGCCTCGCCTCACCTCACCTCCTTCTCACTTGTACACAGCACCTACGCCCCCTGCTGACTTCCTGCCCTCCAGCACCTTCTTTTTATAACTGGTTCCTGTGGGGATTCTCAGCCACCAGCAGGTCTGGCCCACTAGCAGATGTCTGGAAATGAAGGAGGGGATTTTGCATTTTCCTGAGTGGGGGAGGCTCAGCTCTACTTCCAAAATTTGAAAAGGAACATGATACTTACATCTAACGACCTGCAGTTCTCAAAATCAGCCCCACTTGAACTATTAGGTTGGTGCAAAAGTAACTGTGATTTTTGCCATTAAAAGTAATGGCAAAAATTGCAATGACTTTTATGTCAACGTAATACTAGGATGAAGCTGGGACTTACCATGCACACCAGTTTGTTCTCCTGGGTCTCCTTCTCAAAGGAGACCTCTGTTGCCTCGTCCCCTCCCGCGATCCTTTCCCCGACATCACCACTGATGCGCATCACCTCCACATGCAGCCGGCCTGCCACCTGCAGCAATGGGGGAAGGTAGAAACATTTCTCCAGATTTGGTTCATGCTCCCTTGAGACGACCTCTCTTCTCTTTTAGAGTCAAGGTGTCAGGTTAATGGGGATTTAGAGGCCTAGTCTCTGACAGTTACTCTGCCCTCGGAGTCCTTGGAAACACAAGGTATTAATAAGACACATTACTGACAAAAAATAGCAACAATATCCCATCACCACCCTCTTGTTTCTTAAACTGTTCTCTACAGGAAACAAGGCATGAAAAGAAAACCAACCAACCTCTCCTTTCTGGTTGATGATGGGGACAGCGTATTGTAACTTCACATCATAGAAAAGGGACTCGAGGAAGACATTGGCCACCCCAATCAGACTGTGATTTTCCTGCTCATCATAGAATGGATCAGCACGTTTGAAGTATGATCGTATGACCTGTAAAGACATTGAGAACATACAACTTCAGAATAACCACTTACAATAAATGCATTCCACCTACTGCTTTTTGATGCACTCTAGGTCATTAAACTTAACTTTCATCATCCTGACTCTTGTATTTTTTAGAGTAAAACACTCTAAAGTTTTTGCCGAAGCACAGCACTCTATTACTCCCACACACAGTCTTCCTCATTCCCATTCACAGTGGAGGTCATTCCCATTCACAATGGAGGTCAGCATCCTCCACCCATGACAGAGCGATCCCAGTAACAGGTCATTACTTTTAGCAGTTATTCTACTTTACATGGAAATCCTGCCACAAAATAAACAATACATGTTGACCACAAAAAGAAGTAGAGTGTGCTAAACTACACTTCACCTTTCTTTTGGGGAAGACAGTAATTCTTATCTGCTCTGCTTGTTCCTAGCAAGTCATCAGATACAACTCTGCTAATGAAAGGTGAGCCCTCACGCCTATAATCCCAGCACTTTGGGAGGCCGAGGTAGGTGGATCACCTGAGGTCAAGAGTTCGAGACCTGCCTGCCCAACATGGTGAAACCCCGTCTCTACTAAAAATACAAAAATTAGCCAGGTGCCGCGGCGTGTGCCTGTAATCCCAGCTACTCGGGAGGCTGAGGCAGGAAAATCACTTGAACCCAGGAGGCAGCGGATGCAGTGAGCTGAGATTGTGCCATTACACTCCAGCCTGAGCGACAGAGCAAGACTCCATCTCAAAAAAAAAAAAAAAAAAAAAATACTGAGACAAGGAGCATGTCTTTCTCTAATTTGAAAATACATCGAGGATGAATTATGGGGAAAAAATGGCTACACTAACACAGAAATTAAAATTTAAAAAAAAAAAAGAAAGGAGAGCCCTTATGGAAGTGACTCTTTTGTATTTACTATTGTTGTTTTATTTCTAAGTTGAAATAGGAGAGGGGGACCAAAGAGACAAACATGTTTTAAGCAAAAACGTCACCTAAGAAACATTTTTATTGATGACAATCTGGAAAAATCATTTTTACAAAACAAAAGGCAAAGGAAGTAAACAACTCTATGCGGAAACAGGCCTAACAGTAATGAAAATAAGTTCAGACATACGTAATATGCATTTCTATTTTAAATACATATGAGTACATGGCTGATCTAAGTAAGAAAACCTGCAAGTGGAGGACAGAGTACCAATGTATATAGATCTACGGCATCTATGTTATGATCAAAACTTCTTCAAAAATGTTCCTTGTAAATATTAAGATACCACTGATGTTCAACTTACAAAACATATACTGTAGGTTTATTATCTGCAAGGTTAAACGGGTTGAGCAATGGGAGGAGAGACAAATAACGAGGCCTGGCCTCTGTCCTAAAGAGTTTCCCAGAGAGCACAGGAGACAGACACCCGCACACCAACAGAAGTCAGAATGGAAAGTGGAGAATTCTGCTAGAAATCTAAAAGACAGAAATGAGAAGAAAAAAGAAGATACCAGAAAGAGAGATTATTAAAATTGTTAATTTGCTAAACAATTTAGGGGATTAAAATAAACCTTACTCCAGAAATAGGATTATAATTTTGGAAAAAGAACAATTTTCCCCTGATATGGGTAGGCTCATTCCAGCTTGGCTCCTTCCATAATCACCAATTAAGTGATTTTCACTTAAATAACTTACTGGGTTATCTTCTTCACACTCTTTCCACTCCTGATAAAGGTCTCTCATATCCAACAACCTGTTGTCCAGTTTTTCCAAAGACCAAATCTGCTTCCCTTTTCCTTTTCTTCTCACCTGGATTGCAGGCTCACTAAGAAGAGAGCCTCGCTGCAGAGAGAGTAAGAATGACCGTGAGAAACACACAGGCAGCAGGGGAAGTCAAAGCTGAAAATTCCACCCCCATCAGTCAAATGTCATTACACAAAACTCAAATGGCAATCACCCTTTAATCTGTGGATTACAAAGTTTCCCAAAAGTCTTACAAGCTATAACGTAATACCTTCATACCCAAGTACAATCAAAATCTATTTATAAACTTGAGTTTAAGTATAAACTTACATTAAAAAATTTTTTTGGGGGGGTTGCTGGGCGTGGTGGTTCACGCCTATAATCCCAGCACTTTGGGAGGCCAAGGCAAGTGGATAACTTGAGGTCAGGAGTTCAAGACCAGCCTGGCCAACATGGTGAAACCCCTCTCTACTAAAAATACAAAAATTAGCCAGGTGTGGTGACATGTGCCTGTAATGCCAGCTACTTGGGAGGCTGAGGCACAAGAATAGCTTGAATCCAGGAGTTCGAGGCTGCAGTGAGCTGAAGTCTCGCCACTGCACTCCAGCCTAGATGACAGAGTGAGGCTCTCAAAAATAAATATATACATATGTATGTATGTGTGTGTGTGTGTGTGTGTGTGTGTGTAAAGAGACAGCATCTCACTCTGTCACCCAGGTTGGAGTGCAGTGGCACATCACAGCTCACTGCAGCCTCGAACTCCTGGGTTCCAGTGATACTCCTGCATCAGCCTCCCAAGTAGTTAGAACCACGGGTGCATCCCAATAAACCCAGCTAATTTTGTTTGTTTTGCACAGAGACAGGGTCTTGCTATATGGCCAAGGCTGGTCTAGAATTCCTGGCCTCAAGTGATCCTCCTGCCTCAGCCTCCCAAAGCAAAGGGATTACAGGCATGAGCCACCACATTTAAATTCTGACTGTAGTTGGAAATGATTTTAAGTTTAAAACCCAAAAGACCACATTTAACAGCAAGTTGAAATAAAAGTGTTTTATTCAGGCCACCATATGACCACAATGTGTCAATGGGAGAGAGGGAAAGTTTGCTGCGGTGTACGGGGAAGAAACGTCCCTTTACCTCTCAGAAGGTGAATTTTGTTTTATTGTAATGGATGGCATCTTCATGGGGTATAAAACATGAAACACTTAAAAGAGTAAACTGAAAAGTCCCCAGTTTACCCATGTGGAAACAATAAATGATACAAGTTTCCAAATATGCAGTTCGGGTTTCTTATTAAGATCATACAGAACTAGATGGAGGCAGTGGTCACACCACATTGTTACTGTGCCAAATGCCACTGAGTTGTTCACTTCAAAATAGTAATGTTTGGCCAGGTGCGGTGGCTCACGCCTGTAATCCCAGCACTACGGGAAGCCAAGGCAGGCAGATCACAAGGTCAGGAGTTTGAGGCCAGCCTGGCCAACATGGTGAAACCCCATCTCTACTAAAAATACAAAAATTAGCCAGGCATGCTGGTGGGTGCCTGTAGTCCCAGCTACTCTGGAGGCTGAGGCAGAAGAATCGCTTGAACCCAAGAGGAAGAGGTTGCAGTGAGCTGAGATCGCGCCATTGCACTCCAGCCTGGGCGACAGAGTGAGACTCCATCTCAAAAAAAATAATAATAATAAAATAAAATAGTAATGTTCTGTTATGCAAATATCACCCCCCTCCAAAAAAAGGTACGCTCTGAAGTTTTTCCAGCTTATAAGAGCAATGTGGATTTTTTTCAGAGCAGAAGAACTTGAGCAATGTATTTTTAACATAGAAAAAAATTTAGAACTTTTAAAAACCACAAAGTTTAAAAAAAAAAAAAAAAAAAGCCCTTATACATTTCCCCAAGGGAGACTTATCTACTGGTTAGCTAATCAATCTAGGTTTACTGGCTTAATTTTTCAATTGTTCCACTTAAAACTTAAGGGAACTTTGAAATACAGGGAAAAATTTAAGGAAACATATTGATGTTTCATTAACATCTTGCCTACAATCATTTTCTAAGAAACAAAATTTAAATAATAAAACAAACATTTGAGAATTCTTACAGTCAAAATGTGTTTTTCTCTTTTTTTAATTGAGACAGAGTCTCTTTCTGTCACCCAGGCTAGGGTGCGTGGCCCAATCTCGGCTCACTGCAAACTCCACCTGGGTTCAAGCGATTCTCCGGCCTCAGCCTCCCGAGCAGCTGGGATTACAGGTGCCTGCCACCATGCCTGGCTGATTTTTGTATTTTTAGTAGAGATGAGGTTTCATCATATTGGCCAGGCTGGTCTCTAACTTCTGACCTCAGGTGATCCACCCACCTTGTCCTCCCAAAGTGCTGGGATTACAGGCATGAGCCACCATGCCCAGCCATCCTACAGTCAAAATTAAAGGCCCTCCTACCTTATATTCAGTCAGCCAGTGAATAAATCCAAAAATCCCATCTGTGACCTTTGTAGGTAGTGGCTTTCCTGGGGGAGAATGCTGGACCTGGGACTAAATAGCAATGGGCAATATGGTGCAACTACCATAACTTAGCCCTCTTGCAAAATTGGAAATAAGAAAAAAATTTGCCAGAGGAGAGAGTGTTCACAGAATGGATGGGACATTAAACAAGTTTTCAAATACCAAAAAATAGTCTGCTGCATTAAAGACTACAGATTCAGCCTAACTAAACTAAGGAGAGATGTCAGGTGACATGAGTTACTTCTGAGTGTTGACATGGCTACCCCAAAGCAGAGTCACACCTTTCAACAAACCCCAAAATAGGTTACAGAGAAAAGGGCTGCAGTCATGTTTAATGGGGAAAAATTTTTCAGATTCTGCTTTTTTCAACTCGTACACTGTAAAATGAAAGAGGATCTTGTACTTCTCAGCCTTCAAGAAGAAACTAGGCCCTGAACCTTCTCCCTGTGACTGGCCTTCCTCTTTGGTTTTTGGTGAGTCCTACTGTACCCAGACTTTGCCCTTACAAATACTAGTAAGTTCTAATTAAGTAAAATTTTTCAAAATACACACAGAGTATACAAAAACAATGATCTGTAATGATCACATCATATTGACAATACCTTTCTTAAAATACTAAGAATCATACTTGCCAAATATCTAACCCTGTACAAAATGCTGACCTCAATGCTGTGATGTCATAGGGAAAGAAAGATGTAATCCTTGCTATCAAATTAGAATATCTGCCTGTAATCCCAGCACTTTCGGAGGCCAAGGCAGGTGGATCACTTGAGGTCAGGAGTTTGAGACCAGCCTGGCCAACACAGCAAGACCTCATCTCTACTAAAACTACAAAAATTAGTCCGGTGTGGTGGCACACACCTGTAATCTCAGATACTCAGGAGGCTGAGGCAGGAGAATCGCTTGAACCCAGGAGGTGGAGGTTGCAGTGACCCAGGATCACACCATTGCATTCCAGCCTGGGTGACAGAGCCAGACTCCATCTCAAACAAACAAATGAACAAACAAAATAGAATATCCAAGATGGATCGATTAAAGCTTTTCTGTATTGACTACTGTAGGATAAACAGAACGCATGGACCTACAAAAAAATTCATCTGAATAGAAAATTCTACCTAATCCATCAGAAATTATGTATGAATGTGATCAAGAGCTAGAAAAGAACCTCAAAAAAAAGAAGGAAAAAAAACCCAACTGAATGGCAAAGATAGAAGACTGTGATGGGACTTCCCCCTACATTTTATTAAACTTGTTATACCAAAAAAAGTATGATCCTGAATATATACATGACACCATGACACAACTAATGAACAGTTTCACAGAGTAAGCTATTCAAAGTAGAAAATAACATAAGCAAAATGAACACCTAAATTGTGGGAAAGGGGGTGTAGAGTGGTAGCATAAGGAAGAAAAAAAAGACATTTGGGGAAGATGAATCAGAGAAGACTTCTAAGAAAGAATTTAAACAGATTTGAAGGGAGAAAGTTGAGTGAAATGAACTGTCAGGGCCAGGTGAGATGGAGAGAATATTCCCCTAGCGGATAAAATATATACACACTCAAAGGCAGAGAACGGAAAGGAAGTCAATTCTACCCAAAAGCAAGGAGGACAAAGGATCTGACTTGGGGCAGGCACAGATAGGGATCTGAAGCTTAAATAACACCAGGAAACATCAGGCAATCTTATCCAATGAGATCTTTGTTTTTTTCAAGGAATGGCAACCTCACCTTCCTGTTGGCATCCAGGCTGGAGGCTGGAATCTGTAGGGTAACTTTGTATTCTGTTCTTTTATCCAGCTCCTCAGCAATGTAATTAGCTTCTCTCACCAATAGATTGGCCTTAACAATTTGTTCCCTCAGCCTCATCAGGCTGTTATTCAACGTTGCTTCTCTTAAAAAAATAAAGAAGGGGCAGAGGTAGGGAAGAGATTAACACAAAGCAGCTAGTCAGAAAATCATACAGTGGCAGTACATCATTGCCAAAATGTGAATTGAGCTTTTCCATGGTGGTCTGCACGCAGGGACTGTGTTGCTGACACTGACCCATGCACACACTTGAACCTGAACTACACGATAGGCACTGGCGCACAGCCACACAGCAGGCTGGCTGTAGATAAGGGCAGTGCCCGTGTATGCAGATCACCAGGGGATCTTCATCAACTCAAGATTTTCTCAGCAGGTCTGAGGTGGAGGCCTGAAATCCTACATTTCTATCAATCTCCAGGTGAAAGGGAAGCTGCCTGCCTGCAGACCAAACTTTAAATAATATGAGGTTAGTGAAGTAGTCTGCAACCATGGGATGAGGCATTTCAATACAACGCTGATTATCCCGTACAGAGATGACACTTGCAATCTGCACCTCATCAGCACCATGCTTTAACTACCTGAGCTAATCAGTCCAGGTAATCAACTTTGTTTTTCTAAAAATCGTCTACCCAAGCTTCAGAACCTGAAGCATAATACAATGATAAAGTGTACTTCTATATCCAAATCCAAAAGCCATACCAACTGAAAATGGAGCAGCATCTAACATCAACAGTTTTAAATAATGCAATATAAATGGGCAATTCCCCTTTTTAAAAAAAAATGCAAAGTGGTTCTTGGCTGTAACACTTATCTTTTAACATAATTCTTTTGTAAGCACCATCTCAATGTTTCCATTTGACACTTTCCCTAGGTGCGTTAGAGGTGACGAGGCTGAGCTATACGTGTAACAAGACTCTCTGTGCCGCCTACCTCTCCTCAGCCCACTGTCTCAAGCGCTGCTGAGCGCTGGGCGAGTGGAAAGAAAACCTGTCCATGCTCCGGCAGTTCTGCTTCTCAGGAGACAGCCTTCTCCGGAGCTGCTCCAATTCGTGCTCATACATAAGCCTCTGGCGCTCCAGTGCGGATCGTTTTTCTTCTTCATGCTGTTGTTCTAGGCTGTTTAATATGGACTGCATTGGATCTAAACACATTTTTAAAAAAGATAAATGATCGCGAGTTACAACATAACAAACTTCAAATGTGGTTCTATATGGTGATGTTGTTTGTCATCTTAACTATACCACCTAACTAATACTTTAAAGACAATTTGGCATAAACTTAGCTTTCCTGACTTTCGATCACTCAGGTTGTTATCTATTCTCAGACATATCCTCAACCATCTTCCCTGCAGAAAAGGCAGGTCTATTATATGTTCTACACATAACCTAAGACATGGCGAATCCTCCAGAAATACAATCACAAGCCAGTGGCAGGCAAGTCTCTAAAGCAGAGAGATTTGGCCAGGTGCAGTGGCTCATATCGGTAATCCCAGCATTTTGGGAGGCCGAGGTGGGCGGATCACCTCAGGTCATCAGTTTGAGACCAGCCTGGTCAACATGGCGAAATCTTGTCTGTATTGAAAATACAAGTCAGCCAGGCATGGTGGTGTGCAAGCCTGTCATCCCAGCTACTCAGGAGGCTGACGCAGGAGAATAGAATCACTTGAGCCCAGGAAGTGGAGACTGCAGGGAGCTGAGATCATGCCACTGCACTCTAGCCTGGGTAACAGAGCGAGACCCTGTCTCAAAAAATTAAAATAAAATAAACCAGAGAGATTCTATCCATGAGAACAAAGTGATCTGACTGTATATTAAGGCAGAACATTTTGATATAAATTAAAGCCAAAGACACAAAATACAGAGAATAGCAACATAAAGATCTTCCTTTTTAACATTTAAAAAGGCCTCAATCATAAACATTTTTAACACTCTATCATCTTTTTTTTTTCAAGAGAGAAGGTCTTGCTACATTGCCCAGGCTGAAGAGCAGTGGTTATTCATGGGCACAACCTCAGCTCACTGCAGCCTGGAACTCCTGGACTCAAGTGATCTTCCCACCTCAGCCTACCGAGTAGGTGGGACTGTAGGCAACAGTCTACCAACTGGAACCAGTGCTTAAGAGCACGCCTGACTTGCTCACCATTGCTGCCCAGGGCCTTCATGGTGACCTCCATCTGTGCATATTCGTAATTAAAGTTAATTTCACTGGACACCTCGCTGGAGGAGTCTCCGTCTACATCCAGCTGCTCAGAACTGTTTTCATTCTTCATGGAGGGATCATGGTCCTCATTCTCTCGTTCTGCTTTCTTTTTCTTTTTAGGCAAATTGAGTCTTGGGGGGAAAAAAAGAGTATTATTTTCTGAAGTTAAGACAGGTACTTATTTATGTCATTCATTAAGTAATGGCATCTGCTAGAAGCCAAGTAGATACCATGTAAGTACAAGGCAATTACTGTACTCAGGAAGTTGATAATCTAGTCATAGAAATAAGACACTCATGTGCCAGCAAAAACTTACAACAGAAAGTGTGACACTAGTCCACACACCTGTGACAAGCTCGGAGCTAAAGGAAAGCTGAGGACGATTTCAGAGCAAAGTGATAAAGGAAAGCGCAACAGGAGGAAATCATTTGAACTGAGTCTTCACGGATACAGAGAAAGCAGGGTAGAGGGAAAGCGTGGGAAAAGATGTGAAAATGGAAACATTCACATTCCCTGGAGAAATGAGTAAAACAACGGGATATTCAAAATCTGTACAGCACACTAGAGCTAAAGCTGGAAAGATCAGCTTCATCCAAACGACGAGGGTTTTGAACACAAAGCAAAGCAGTTTACACGTCATTTAATTTAGGAAGGAAAAAAATGCTCCATGCTCTTTGTGCCCATCTACCCTTTTCTCAGTAACCAAAGTATCACTGGCCCATGGCAAACGCTCTCTATTAGCTACAGAAAAGTCAGTCTGACATCTGGAGCACGATGACCAGTGACAGTAACAAGAGACCAGGATGTTCACTTTTTACAATCTCCAGCCTGCCTGCCTTGTCAACGCAACATCAATTTTGTTTGGGAAACCGCATGTACAGCCCCAGGCGAGATACAGTCTTTTGCAGCCCCCTTTGCAACTAAGAAGCAATTTCTAGCAAAGGAGACAGAAGGAGATTGCTGAGGACTCTGGGAAGACTTCTCTGTTTTTTCGGATGAACAGGAGAGTCAGGGCTAGCACAGCTTACGGTTCTCCTTTTTCTTCCTGTACCTGAATGCTGTTTTGACGGCAGTGCAGCATGGCCAACTTCAGGCCATAGAGAGACGCCAAGACAGTGACCAGACTTTAGCCATGACTTTATTTGAGAGGCTTAGCCAACACTAACAACCATGTTCCTTTAGATTTCTGGTTCTGTCAGGGAAATAAATGATCTGTCTAACCCATTACAGTACAACTGGCCATGACTTAGAGCTGAAAAGAATTTCTAAAAGAAATACCAACCTTATTTTATAGATAAGGAAACTAAAACCACAACCATGTTTCCATAAAAAAAAAAATTAAAAAGATAAACATGTCAGGAAAACTATTAATGTTTATTAATAAATTCTTACACCACACAGCAAAGGAATCACCTTCCAGTGGGAAATAAAAGGGAAAAACTGTGTAGATGAGCTCAGTATTTTTCCACAGTGTATTGTTTATATGTCTCTAGGGTTCAGACCATATACAGTGAATGAACACACACACACACACACACATATATATATAATATATATGCAGCAAATATATATGTACACACACAATAACATAATTGTTTTAGAGACAGAAAATACATATTACAGAGTAAACCTATTTCAGAGCACAATCTTCAATAATCTCCTTAAGGGACACGAATGACATCATACCTGAAGAAATGGTTGTTTCCCCATAATATCCTGTCCCCATGGTGTAACTGTATTGGACTGGAGACAGATGACCCATTCACAAATGTTCTGTAAGAAGAAGAGATCAAACGTGAACGAGGAGTGCAGTATCATGTCTTCTGCTTTAAATTCCCAGTAACATAGAGATATAGTTACTAGGGAAAACAATAATTCCCCCAAATACAACCTGTTCTTGGTGAATTTTAATATTTACATTCACTCCTTTGCTGATTCACCTAAAACGCTGATAGTACAAAGCACAGGCACATCTCATTTTACTGCGCCTTGCTTTATTGTGTTTTGCAGATATCACATTTTTTACAAATTGAAGGTCTGTAGCTATCCTGTGTTAAGCAAGGCTATGGGAGATTCTTTTCAAACAGCATGTGCTCACTTCACATCTGTCATGGAGGCCTGTGATCAGGGACCTTTGACCTCACCTAATTGTTTTGGAACATCGTGAACTGCACCCATGTAAGATGGTAAATTTAATAAAAGCAGTGTGGGTTTTGACTCTCTCCCTCTCCTCGGGTCTCTTTATCCCGAGACACAGCCATATTGAAATTAGGCTAATTAATAACTACAATAACCTCTACCTGTTTAAGTGAAGGAAAGAGTCACACACCTCTCAAAAGGTGGAAATAATTAAGCTTACTGAGGAATCACATCAAAAAACAAGACAGGACGAAAGTCAGGCCTCTTGTACCAACAGCTGGCCAAGCTGTGAGTGCACATGAAAAGCTCTTGAAGGAAAGTAAAGGTGCTTCTCCAGTGACTACATGAATGATAAGGCAGAACAGTTTTCCTGCTGATATGGAGAAAGTTCAGTGGTCTGGAGAGAAGATCAGCCCAGCCACAATATTCCCTCAACTAAACCCTAATCCAGAGCACGGTCCTAACTCTCTTTAATTCTATGAACTGAGAAAAGTGAGGAAGCAACCGAAGAAAAGTTGGAAGCTAGCAGAAGTTGGTTCATGAGGTTTAAGGAAAGAAGTCACCTCCATAACATAAGAGTACAAGATGAAGCAGCAAGTGCTAATGTAGAAGCTGCAGCAAGATTGCTGATGAGATTTTCAATGTAGATTAAACAGACTTCTATTGGAAGAAGATGCCATCTAGAACTTTCTTAGCTAGAGAAGAGAAGTCAATGCCTGGCTTCAAAGCTTCAATGGCAGGCTGACTCCCTTAGGGGCTAATGTAGCTGGTGACTTTAAGTTGATGCCAATGCTTATTGACCATTCTGAAAATCCTAGGGCCCTTAAGAATTATGCTAAAACAGCTCTGCCTGTGCTCTGTAAATGGAACAAAACCCAGATGACAGTATGTCTGTTTACACCACAGTGTGCTGAATATTTTAAGCCCACTGTTGAGACCTAATGCTCAGAAGATTCCTTTCAAAATATTATCGCTCATTGATAAGGCACAGAGAAGGGTATTCTTCGGGTGGCACAGTGACCATGTTTTCGTCTGTGCTTAAACAAAATGATGACGTGGCCTGCTCTGTCTTATTGCATCCCGGTCTTGGAGAACCCTTGCCTGAGGCTGGGGTTCTGTGTGATTATTTATGGCCTCACTAGAGAAGAGCACAGCACAGCTGTGAGGGCCACGCCAGCTTCTGCTCCTGTTTTCTCACTTGATCCTTCCCCAGAGCTTGATAGTGTCTCAATACTTGAAGACTTTATGGATAAAATCAGTGATATTAGTGATTTTTTGATACCATAAAATGAAACAAATCAGCATTTGAAAGGTCAACATAATTCGTTAATCACTGTCTGTAACAGTTACAGACTATTATACTTCCAACTCCCTAACAGGGGATAACAGCTCTATAGCAGATGGAAACAAAGTGACAAACGTGTCATTCATAAAATGTGGAGCCCCTTCACTCCTCGATGGTGTATTAAGTTCCTGTGTACTAGTCTCATATTCTGCGCCAGGAATGGAGAATCAAAAAAAGGCCCTTGTCCTCAAGCAGCTCACGGTCTAATGGGGTAATAAGGGTTCAGAGCCCATAGGCAGACACTAAGAAGCACTGCCACAACAGGGGGATGGTCCAATACCTCCTAAGGGCACTGCATTCAGACCAAACAGGGACCTCCCCGCAGGAGATCATGGCAGCCCTTAACCCTGCAGACCGAACAGGAGTTAGCAGGCCAAAGGACTGGCAGGTGCAGAGGAGGAGGAGATAAACCAGGGGGCTATAAGGGATTTTCTATCACAAACAGAGGAAAGCCTTCTAGGGCTGTGGTGAGTGAATCAGGAGGCAACTCAGGGTGTTAGCGGGGGCTCTGATCAAGACTTGATGAGGGCCTAAATACGTAAGGCCATGGCAGTGGGCATACAGAGGAAGGAACGGGTGTGACAGGCATTAAAGCTAAATGTAAGGGGCCTGCCCAACCAACTGGATAGCTTAATGTGGTCAACTTAAAAGCAACAAAGGCCATTGTCGCCAGTAGAGTACTTTCTTCCTCTGAAAAACTCTCATGATATGAACACTAATTCAAGTACGTTACCTGGTGTTCTTCTGAGGAGTCAGCATGACCTGGCCTTCTGATGTGATGTCTATAATGCAGTGTTCAGGAAGAATTCCCATGCCGCACAGTTGGATATCTTGGGAATCTGCTGACCCTATCAATGTATGTTCCTAAGAAAAAAATCAAATTCACTGATTAATACTGTATTCTTACATGTACACAATTGAAATCGTTTACCAACTGGAGGCCTTATTGTCCTATTACCTTGCGAAATGTTTTTTATTTTATACTTTGAGGGGACAGAGTTTGCTCTATCCCCCAGGTGGAGTGCGGCGTTGCCAACCTTCAGTCCACCAGAACCTCCGCCTTTTTTCCCAGGTTCAAGCGATTCTTCCTGGCCTCAGCCTCCAAGGTGCTGGGATTGACAGGCATTGCACCCACATGTTTCCAGGCTCATTTCTTTGGTATTTTTTAAGTAGGACAGGGTTTCCCAGTTGGCCAGGCTGGTCTCAAACTCCTGGACCTTCAAGGTGATGCAACCACCTCAGCCTCCCGGAGTGCTGGGGATTACAGGCGGGTCACCATGCCTGGGTAAAAGATTTTTTTAAAAAGCAAATGGGAAGCATGGTTGAAACAAAAAAACAGGAGGGAGTTAGATTGGGCCTTGTGGAAATTGGTGGGCTGACGCTACGCTAGACTTTAACTCACCACTCCAGCGGCTTTAATGCCATCTTACAATTAACTACATTCCTCTGATCCACACCCTTAGAGCTAATTACTTTATTCTTTTTTTCCCCACCTTTCCACAACCACTATTGGCAAGTTTAGTCACTTTTTTTTTATTTTCTTCGAGACAGGGTCTTGTTCTGGAGTCACCCAGGGGTGGAGTGCAGAGCACCATCCATGGCGTTCAATAAGCGTTCACCCCCTTGGGCTCAAGCATCTTTCCGTCTCCCAGCCTCGGAGTAGCTGAGATCACAGGCAGGCTCACCTTGACCAATAATTTTTTTTTTTTTTGTAGAGACAGGGTCTCAACCTATGGCCAGCGGTTGAACTCCAAACTCCTGAGCTCAGGCAGTCCTTCCACCTCGGCCTCCAAAGCAACGTGGGATTACATGTGTGAGCCCCATGCCCAGCCTCAGGCCACTATCATTTCTCGGTCTACTCAGCCTACTTAACACCAACTTGGATGGTCTGAAGATGGTATCAAAGGGAGCGAAAGGCCAAAGCTAAAACTCTTGTTCCATTCTCCCCAACCCAAACATGGGGAAGGTCTATTGCCTTCTCCAATAATAATGGATGGGCACGTACCACTACCCAGTGCAGTCAAATGAACAGCTATTAGATATGGATTCTGAGTCTACTTTCATTTACGTTACAAGCCATACCCACCCCATGTCATGGGGAATTCTTACAAGAGTTTCCTCCAAGGTCTATCAAGAATCAGCTTGTTTTCCCCACCTCCACAACCACATCCTAGATTCGCCCTCCAGGATCTCCTGCCTGTGGATGCAGGAGCTTCCTACTGTCTCCATTGCATGCCACTCCCTTCCACTCCTGCCACAACAGCTGGTCACATCATCCCCTATTTAAAACCTTCTAGGAGTGGGCATGGTAGCTTATACCTGTAATCCCAGCAATTTGGGAAGCCAAGGCAGGAGAATCGCTTGAACCCAGGAGATCAAGACCAGCCTGGGCAACACAGTGAGACCCTGTCTCTACTAAAAAAAAAAAAAATTGTGGCCAGGCGCAGTGGCTCATACCTGTGATCCCAGCACTTTGGGAGGCCGGGGTAGGCGCATCACTTGAGGCCAGGAGTTCAAGACCAGCCTGGCCAACATGGTGAAACCCCGTCTCTACTAAGAATACAAAAAAAGTAGCCAGGCGTGGTGGCGCATGCCTATAACTGCAGCTACTCGGGAAGTTGAGGCAGGAGAGTGGCTTGAACCTGGAAGGTGGAGGTTGCAGTGAGCTGAGATCGTGCCACTGCACTTCAGCCTGGGCGACAGAGCAAGACTCCATCTCAAAAAAAATAAAAATAAAAATAAAAATGAGGCAGGAAGATCACTTGAGCCCAGGAGATTGAGGCTACAATAAGCCATAATCGCACCACTGCACTCACCTGGGTGACAGAGCGAGACTCTGCCTCAAAAAAAAAAAAAAAAAGAAAAGAAAAAAAGTAAGAATAAAACCTTCTAGTGGCTTCTCTTTGAACTTCCAATAAAGCCCAAATTTTTACCCAGGCTTACGAAGCATTCAACAACCTGTCCTTGCCTGTCTCTGACCCTCACTCTCACCATCTTCCCCTCACAGAGCATGTGCCAGCCACATCGGCTTCCATCTGTTCTTTGAGCACACTGAGCCTATTTCCATCCTATTGCCTTTTACTAGCTGTTTCCTCTGTCTGAAATGTTCTTCCCCTGATCCTGATATGGGTCATTTCTTATCATTTCTATCTCAGTTTTTAAAGTCACATCCTCAGAGAGGTGTTTCCTGAGCTCCCAACTGGAAAAAGCCACTGTCATCCTGCCCTATTTTAACTCCTTCCATGACACTGACAGACTGTGGGTTTACTGTCCATCTTGTACTCCAAGCACTTAACAAAGGCTTGGCATATGTAGGCATTAAAAAAATATAAAAATAAATGCACAATCATTTCCCTTTGTGTGCCTAGGTAATCAAAGTAAGATAAAGTTACTCAGGGATAGCATCTCAGTCTCTTTATTGATAGATGGGTATCATGATTCTAAAGTATTCTATTATAAAGTATTCCAGGATAAATAAAGGGGGTGTTATATTCTAGAAGAGTAAGAGAACTGTACAATTGGAACCAGAAAGAACTTTAGAGATGTTTTAATCCAATGCCTTCACTTACACACGGAGTGACGGAAGTCATCTGCCCAGCATCTAAATTGACTTTTGAATTTGAAGGCATAGTAATAAAAAATGCTCAGCCTCCAAATTCCACCATCCCACATTATGGTATCACTTTACTGAAGCAAAAACGGTTCTTTTACTTAAGCAAAAACAGTTGGTATCACTTTACTGAAGCAAAAAGTATTCTTTTACTGAAGTAAAAATTGTTCATCCTTTTGAATGTGCTTTGTTTTGAAGATATGCTTGTTGTGGGGTCAGCTTGGGCAGTCAAGAAATCAACACTGCCTCAGACTCGGCCCAACAGGGCTGGCCACAGAGTCTGAAACAGAACCCAAACACCTCCATACAAGATGACCAGAAACATCTGACGACTCTCCAAACATCTTTAAACAGCTTCTTTAGTTTTTAGTCAAGGAGCAGATATGAATCAGAGATTTTTCTTGATGTGTGTGTTTGTGTGTTCCGATTTGAACTACATTACAATGGAAAGAAAAAGAATTTCTAGTTCTGAAAAAAGGACAGAATATTTAGGTCCTATTCTAACATCGCATCTCTTCCCACATAGTCAGCTCGTTAGCTTTACTTTCCTGGTCACCGTCATGTGACTATCCCCAGCTGACATCCTAACTCAGAATGCTACCAGCACTGTTCATAAGCAAAGTAGGTAATGGATAATACTTTTTTTTTTTGAGACGGAGTCTTGCTCTGTTGCCCAGGCTGGAGTGCAGTGGCATGATCTCAGCTCACTGCAACCTCCACCTCTGGGGTTCAAGAGATTCGCCTGCCTCAGCCTCCCAAGTAGCTGGGACTACAGGCACATACCACCACCCCTGGCTAATTTTTATATTTTTAGTAGAGACAGAGTTTCATCATGTTGGCCAGGCTGGTCTTGAACTCCTGACCTCAAGTGATCTGCCCACCTCAGCCTCCCAAAGTGCTGGGATTACAGGTGTGAGCCACCACACCCGGCCAATAATACATCATTTTTTAATAGGCAAGGAAAATATGTGTATAAGAAACCATAGGAGTATCAAACAAAAAAGTGGAACGTGGAATCTTTTCTTTTGTGTAGTACTTCTGTTTACAAAATGCTTCTGTATCTCCAACCCTCACAGGAACCTGGTAAAGTAGCCAGAGACACTTCCCTCCATTTACAAAGGAATTAATCTAGAGGGGGCAAAGGGCTTGGCCATAGACTAGAGAGACAGGTCACTCCCTCCTACCCCAGCTTTGGGGCCACTGAACCACAACACCTGAGACAAGCACACATGAAGGTATGCATCAAAGACACAGCCAAACTCACAGCACAACAACACACCGTATAAGACATTTATTAACAACAGGCCTTCTCAAAATGACACAGAGTCACTGCCCCCGGATCTTTCCAAGCTTTTCTGAAATGAAATCACGCAGTTCTCTTAGAGCTGTTTTCCAGGTAGTCAGCTTGTTAGCTTTACTTTCCTGGTCACATTAATTAAACCCACACATGTGAGGGGAAAAAAACTATTATCAACCCTGTGTTAGAGTCGTGCAGTCTATCATATATAATAAGTAATTTGTGCTCTGGGCTTGACACAGCCCATTCTGGACACTCCTCGAATCCATGTGGCATCTCAGGGTTCAGGCTTATTCTGAAGTTGTCTCTTATCTTACTAATATATCCCATGATTTATAGATTTCAGTGGATACATCTTTTCTGTTCCATGCTCTGACTCACTCAGTCTCTAAGTAACCTATACTCTCTCTCTTTTTTTTAACAGATTGATAACCCAAATTTTTAATTTTTCCTAAGAGTTATTGGAAACATAAATTTCATACCAACCAGTCCTAAGAACTTTATTTATACATTTTTTTCTTGTGAGCTAACACACTGCTCCCAGAAAAATGCGCTTCACGTAAACCATAAAAGCTTTAGTATACTTACTAAATGAATCATTTAGTCTTCAAAGTCATCCATTTTTAAAGTTATCTACTTAATTCCTTGATACAAATCACATTAAATAATGGTAGGAAGGCTATTTAACTTACTGGAAATAATATCAGAGTATCATTTTTTTCTATTGTCAGGTAGAATGGCATCAAGGACTAAAAAAGAAAACTGAGCCCAGAAACCCAAGATGGTCCGTAACTTCTTGCTGTTTTTTGAGTAAGCATGGTTCCCCAAGTTTACTAAAGTACTGTGAAATATTATCCTATTTTGTGACAAGAATCTAGTAGCAAAGCACATTACTTCACCTTTAAGTAGTAGACCAGAAGCTCATTCAGAGCTGGGTCAGCATTCAGATTCACCAGGAAGCATTTATCATCCCCAACTTTGATTCCCGAAGACTGAAGAGATATTCCAAGACTCTCAAGCTGTTTCTGTCGTTCCTGTAAATGTATCAGAGAAGTATTAATTCCACAGCCATTGAGGCAGTGAGATATCCAAGCGCTTACATTACAATGTTACAATTATTCAGTAGTGTTGTAATTCAAATACATTCTCTTAGGCTATGGTATTATAGATTTATTGGATTTTTCTCTTCTTTCCAAACTATATAATTTTTGCGTTAATTCTAATTTTATTTTGAAAAATAAAGTCCATTACATATAGTAACTAATTGTACTAGTGAATTCTCAGTTTTCATTCTTGAAAACATCTAAAATCTTGAATTCATCTCATTTAACTCTGAATATATGAGCAAAGGTGTGTGCTCTTTCCTCAACTGTGATCCTTCTTAAAAGCAAAGGAGGATCAATACACTCTTCTGCTTGACATCTTCAGCGACCTCCCGATCAGGATAAAGGCCAAACTCCCTCAGTAAAGTTCACAAGGCCCTTCAATCTGGCCTGTTTCCCCTCTGGCTTCTAACTTCTGTCAAACCCGGCATGAAACTGCATGAAACAAGTTCCAGGTCCTTGAAAATGCTAAGAATGTTCTCTGAGCTGGGCGTGGTGGCTCACGCCTATAATCCCAGCACTGTGGGAGGCCAAGGCAGGCAGATCACTTGAGGTCAGGAGTTCAAGACCAGCCTGGCCAACATGGTGAAACCCTATCTCTACTAAAAATATAAAAATTAGCCAGGCATGGTGGCAGGCGCCTGTAATCCCAGCTGCTCATGAGGGTGAGGCAAGAGAATCACGTGAACCCGGGAGGTGGAGGTTGTGGTGAGCTGAGATCATGCCACTGCACTCCAGCCTAGGCGACAAAGAGAGACTCCATCTCAAAAAAACAAAACAAACAAACAAACAAAAAACAAACCAAAAAAAGTTATCTTTGTTCTCGTTAGCTGAAAAGATTTTATACCTCTTTCTTCTATCTGGAGCAGACATGCTCCACTTCGTAACTGTTTATCAGGCCATTTCTCTCACACGGGACTATGTGCTGTGTGGGCACGGATCCTACCTTATATACTGTTGTGTTCCCAGCACTTAGCAGTGAAGGACACATGGCGAGCACTCAAAACATCAGTGTGGTGAATTTATCCAAAAACAAACAAACTTGCATATGCACTCAAGCACTATCTTCATAATACGGGCCTTTCCTTTTTTGTGCCTGCCTCTGAACCCATACAACATATGAACATCTGTACATCATAAGGGTATAGGCATGGATCTCACAACCAGATGCTCTGTGGTTAGGGTACAGTCGGAGCTGGAGAGGGTATCTTCGACTATGGGTAAACAGCAAGTAGCAATGAGTCAATCACCTAAGACCTCTGATTCTGGGGAAATGCAAGACAGACTAAGTCACTTAACTACAGCCACACAGTAAGTTTGCAGCATAATTAAAATAAAGCTTCACAATTTTGCTATTTCTAGGCATGCCACTGTAATTTATACAATCACTGCAACTCAGCCAATATATCCTACCTAGAAGTATACTACCACAAAACTGAAATGTGTATTTTGGTCCTGGGTCTTCAAATCAAATCAAGTCTTTAAATCAAGTTCTAACAAAAAGGACTACAGGCTTCTTTCAGAAGTTTTGAGTCATTTAACATTAACCATCAGCGTTTTCTGCGCTCATTTCCAAGAATTTCTCCTTGATAAAGAGTCATGTCCATAAGATGAAGAAAGTAACTATACCTTTCTCTAAGTTATCCTAGTTATTACTGTTTTACGCTACTTCCCTGTGCATGTTTCTGTCATTTGAGATTTTATACTGGTAAAAACGCTACAAAACTTTTGTCTAATCCAAAAGAGGCATAATGGTGGAAAACTGTCAATTCGTTATTGTGTTTCCCACCAAAAACTAAAGTTTTAAAATCATCTTTAAAAATTACGAATGTTTGTAACACCTAGGAATCAGCTCATAACAAAGTACTATATGATAAAATACAGTTTACTGATATCATCAAATATTGCTTCTGATATCAGGGGTTGGTTAACTTTTCCTATAAAATGTCAGATAGTAAATATTTAGTCTTTGTGGGCCATGGGCTTTCTGTCTTATTCATTTCTGCTGCCGAAAACATACATAATACGTAAACAAATGAGCACAGCTGTACTACAAAAAAATTTACAAAAGCAAGTGGTGGACCCGGTTTAATTCACATGCATTGTCTGTCAACCCCTGACCTATCTCAAGGTTTGGATTTCACTTAAGTGTATATCTTCTAATGAGAATATAAAAGATAAAAATAAGGGACAATGTGGTATAGCAGATATGGCACCGGAATTAGAAAATACTCATCATGAGTTCTTTTTATGCAAAAATATTATTAAGCGTACAACACTAAAAGATAGTCTTTTTTCTTAAGAACCTTACAAACTCAATAGCAACTAAAACTACACATAACAATTAAACAATGGTAAAGTATTGGATGATGTAGGGTCAAAGGGTGCAGAGGCTGCAGGGAATTCCGTGGCAGGGCCATCTGAGGGCTAGCACCCTATCGGAAGGCGTCACAGAGCCCGGAGGACCCATGGAGAGCCCAGCTAACTTGCAATTGCCCCCAAAATGATGTGAGAAGTCCTTCAAAAAAGAAAGTCATTGAATTCAGTCTGCCCGGAAATTGCCAAATTTATCTGACCATGGACCACGTCAACTGACATGTCTCAAGTCATCTTCCAGAAGATACACTACCACTTTGTGGCTCTACTGTCAGAAATAGATTTTGGAAGATGTCAGTTTGGATTAGGAAGAGGTAAGTGACCAAGAGACCAGGTTTTTTCAATGACAGAAGAAAAACGTTCAGCAGCACTACAGCCTGGGAGCTCTGGAAGGTAAGGCATTGAAGGAGCTGCTGAATAAAATCAGGCAGTGCCCCCAAAAGGGACCCCTGGGAGAGGAAAAGTAAAGGTGCCAACACTAAGCTCCCCGATGCAGACTCACTTAGACTTGCCCTGTTTTCTATCAGCACAACGACTCATCACAACAAATGTTTACTGTTGGAACAACTGAGAATGGCTCAAAGTGGCTTCCAAATTGGACAATTATTAGAATGACTTATAATTCATAAAAACCACAGGGAGATATGTAATGAGAAATAGTTTATATACTGATCTCTTCTCTATAATTTGAGGGATATGCTTTAAGATAAGCCAATGCAGGGACACAAAAACAACACTGGCCATATGTTGATCTTTAATGAAACCAGGTGATGGGTACCTGTAGATTTAGTATACTTTTTTCTAATTTTTATCTACTTTGAAAATGTCTGCAATAAAAATGTTTTTAAAATCTATTTTAATCCCGGTCTGTGCTAATATAACATCCACTTTATGCTAAGTAACAACAGTACCATCCTACAATGTCTGATACACAGATTGATTCTGGACAGCACATTTCAAGATGGAATCTACTGAGTGAAAACAGATGGAACAAGTTCTATATATTCTCTAATACAAGTTAAAACAGTTAAAAACAACAGGGAATTTTAACTTAGAAAAGGAAGAGGAAGAAGCAGAGAGATGACTTTATATACACGAACAACTTGGGTAGCAACAGTCCCTATCTTGTAAAACTACTGAGAGGATTACATCAAGTACTGTAGTTAAAAGTGCTTAGCATAGGGCTCAATACATAAGTGGATCCAATAAATGCTGGCTGTTACTGTCACCACCAGTTCCTGTGTTTGGGTGGGACCTCTCTTAGCTACTAAAGAACAAACTAGGGCCAGTAAGTAGAAGCGAAAGAATAAAAGACTGATTCAATCGCTACTATTAGAGTTGTCTGATCACAAAAAGCCTGTCAGATGTGGTCCTGAGCTCCACATTACTATATATATTTCTAAAACAGAAGTTGGATAATCATGAAACAGGAAAGCCACAGTGTAAATCTATTATTAGGTGGACAGACTTTTTCTCCCAATGCTAAACTTAACTAGATCTTCCTAGACGAATACTAATGTTCCCGCCCTAAGGTTTCTGTAGTGTTTTTTTTGTTTTTTGTTATTGAGACAGAGTCTTGCTCTGTCACCCAGGCTGGAGTACAGGCGCATGATCTCAGCTCACTGCAACCTCCGCCCCTCGGGTTCAAGCGATTCTTGTGCCTCAGCCTCCCAAGTAGCCGGGACTACAGGTGTGTGCCACCATGCCCAGCTAATTTTTGTGTTTTTAGTAGAAACAGCATTTCGACATCTTAGCCAGGCTGGGCTCGAACTCCTGACCTGAGGTGATCCACTTGTCTCAGCCTTCCAAAGTGCTGGGATTACAGGTGTGAGCCATCACACTGGCCACCACCCTAAGATTTCATAACTATTACTGTTACTAGAAAATGGTGAGAGACAGTCACCTCAGATTTAGGAATTTCATATTACTTTCACTGGGTTTTCACATGGAACCAAGAAGTTCATGGCCTAATACCTAAAAAAAAAATTAATGATACTTTTTTTTTTTCTTGGCCACATGCACTGGATTGAGTAATTTTGTAATTTCAGGAAGTTCCTTAGGTCTCTAAAGCGCTTAATAGAATGGAGTGTTAAGAGCCAGGGGCTACAAAGGAGTTATTTCATTAAATTTTTTTTAAAAAGATTACTGATACTAAAAAATTATTTCTTACATAAATGATTAAATGCAATTATATCCTGTTTATCCTTCGAATTAATTTTGCAAAGTATAGATTCTCTTAGATCTAGATTCCTAATGATAGTGTTAGATTTGCCATCAACCAAGCTGAAGATCAAAAAGGAACTAGGAAGACCATGTGTTCCACTGTGCAAACTCCTTCATCAGTCAGGAAACACGAACCTGTGCAATCTCCTCCGTTTTCCTTAATTTCTCCTCCCAGGTCACAGTCATTTCCTGGATTAGCTTCTCAGATTCTTCCAGCCGGTCCTTTAGCTCTGGAGATTTCATTGCCTACAAGCAAAATGTTTACTTCATGAAATGTCTAGATGATGCCCTGGAAAAAGAAGCGGCCAACTCTAAAAGGACAAAAGTAACAATCTGCCTCCTCTTGGCTGAATGTCATGCTGAGGTCCAACATCTACTTGAAATGTAACGACAGACCTCCAGTACCTCGATTGTTCTGAGGACCACAAACTCATCGAGTTATCCAAAATATGCCCAAAAAGAAGGCTTTTTCCTTTTCTGCCACTCTACTGTGAAGATATAATTACATTTAAGGATGCAAAAATGTAAAGCTTCTAAGGGTTTATTGTTAAAATCCCAATAGGTTATACATCTAGACTCAGACACATGATTCATTCTAGCCCTTGCTGATGACTTCAGGAATTAATCCACATATATACAGACTTAACGTGTACATGTTGCAGATTGGATGGTGTTATTAATACCAAGGAGACAACAGTCTTCATGGACTGTAAAATTATTCCTATAAAAACAGGATAAAATTCAACAGGTAAAAATATGATCAAAATAATCATCTTGACCATGTCTCTTACTGATTTATTCCCAGAAAACAGGTATGAGAAAGAAAGCAAACTCCAGAAAGAGTCCCATAGTGCTGAGAAACTGTGGGAAGAGAAATGTTAATGAAAGCAAGAATCCTGGCTGGGCACTGTGGCTCACTCCTGTAATCCCAGCACTCTGGGATGCTGAGGCGGGAGGATCACCTGAGGTCAGGAGTTCAAGACCAGCCTGACCAACATGGAGAAACCCCGTCTCTACTAAAACTACAAAATTAGCTGGGCGTGGTGGCATGCACCTGTAATCCCAGCTACTCAGGAGGCTGAGGCAGGGGAATCACTTGAACCCAGGAGAGAGAGGTTGCAGTGAGCCGAGATCACACCACTGCACTCCAGTATGGGCAATAAGAGTGAAACTCCATCTCAAAAAAAAAAAAAAAGTAGGAATCTTGAATCTGACACTTCATTCCACTTTCCCAAGAGGATGAGCACTTGGGATTGCAGGTCAGAGTTGGCAGGTTTTCAAATTAATGTAACATTATCCATTACAGAATACACAGAAGACAGCTGTAATAGAATACTACTAAATACATGGGTACTTCTACTATAAAATATTTTCTACAAACATAATTAATCCACAACATGGAAAAGCTAGATTATGAAAGTGTAGAAGACTCAAGATTTTCATTCTGACTTCTACCAGGTAACAAATGAGATTCAACAAAAATCTTGCTCTCCATTTTCTGCACAAAAATTAAAATTATATACACAAGGTCTCCAGCATCTCTCTTCCTCTCCTATTCTATTCTACCTCTCTTTTGTCTGCTGCCTGAATAGAAATGCAAACATTTTCTCAATTCTCTTTATTTGTTCCTGTTCAATCTTTTTCACATCTGTAAAATCTCTTTGGATTCACAAAGTAGAGTACTCATCCCTCACAGCCCAGGGGAAGAAAATTCAAGCTCCAGGCTGACTCCTCTTTCTGGACTCACAGGGCACATGCGGTTGTGCCTCCTACCTCTGCTTTGGTCAGCTGCTCCCGGAGTTTCTCAACTTCTTCCCGGAGATCCCGGATAATTCGGGCATTAGGGTCCTCGTTCACCACAGCGTGGTTAACAATGTGCTTGGCTCGATCTGCATACCGCAGAGTTGAGAGGGTTTCATCATAGTTATCAGCTGCAGGACTCACAGTAGCCACCATGGCAGTCTTGCTGTTACCCCCAAGGCTGTCCTACAGGAGAAAAAAGAAAGTTGAGTAGCATATTAAAGTTGAAACAAGACATCATATGAGAAACCTGAAATCAGAAATGGTGAACAAATTTCCCCGGGTCAAACACGTTCAGTGACAGAGCCAGGGCTAAAATGCAGGTGTACGGACTTGGGTCCTGTGCTGTGTCTTCTCTGCCAAGCCATTGTACTAAAAAGAGGGAGTTTTAGCCTTTGATAAAGGACAGGGAAATGTCATGAAACCTACCTTTATCTCAAGTTAACAAAAATTAATTCTAAGATATCTGCCCTATTTTATAAGCAAGATGAGACCACAAGAACACAGACTACTCGGAATAAAAAAGGACTCCTTAAATGCCTCCAACATCTTCCTTAGAGGAACAAGCATGATACTTATTTGGCAAGCTCCTCCACAACCCCCTGCACTGGGAGTCTCTGTGAAGCCTAATAATGGCTCAGAAAGTTGCTGTTACAAGCTATCAAGCACGTTGTAAAGTTTTTACAACATAAGGTACAATTATAATCTTACAAAAAGTATGTTAAAGCAACTTCATTTTCTTTCCTCTGATAGCACTTCAAAAGCTACTAACGTTACAAGTTCTAGAGAAACACTTCCACCGTTAGGACAATGGTCCTGAGAAGAGATACTGTCTTCATGATACTCAAACTGCTAAGTGCAGTGAAACAGCTTTAGGACTGACTGGCTTCCAATGGAATGAAAAAATGACCCTTGCTTGAGAACATTAAAAATAGAGAGAGATAACTCAGGCACAAAACTAGACTTGGGACATCAAGCCCACCATGCTGTACTGCACCACAGACAAGGCTGCCCGTGCAGGTGACCTCCTGGTATCCACACCTTGAGTGTGGCCAGGACTTATTCATCGGTCTCCAAGGAATGAAAGTGATGGCATGTCACTTCTAAGGGTAGATTCAAAGAAGATGGTGGCTTCTGTTTTGGGTGTTTTCTTTCACTCTAGGGGAAACGGGCTGCCGTGAAGTGAGGTGGCCCTATGAAGACAGGCCCACAGGAATGCGTGTGGAAGCAGATCTTCTGGACCCTGCTGACAACCATGTAAGTGAGCAGACACCTCCCCACACCGGTCATGCCTTGAGATGATGATGGCATCCCCATCCCCAACACTTTAATTACATCCATGTAAAACAACCCGGCTAGAGCCAGGTTGTTAAGCTGCACGCCCCCGGAGTCTTGACCTATGGAAACCCTGAGACAATAAATGACTTGTTTCCAGCTGTTCCATTCGGGGGGTAATGTGTTACAAGCAATAGGTAACTACTCATACACTAGGACAGCAACCCAGGCTGAGACAACTTATCAACGCAAACAAACAGAAAGATTGAATATACTCTTTTTGGTAACAGAATGTCACTGAATGACAGACTCTCAAGATTAGAGGGAACGCTGCAACGGGCCAGTAATGGGGAATTCACTAGAGCATAAGAAAGCTAACTCTCCTTTGGGGCAGCATTAACCTATGGAAAACTGCTTTTGAAGATACAAGACTTTGCCAATCTTATTACAACTAAAATGTGTTGGAACAATCTGTGATTTCCCCAGTCTTTGGGCACGCACTTTATTTTACTTAGGTCTCCACCTTTTGTGAATTCAATTTATCACAGAGCCTGGTTTTATCGGTGAGAAAACAGGTCTGTTTGGACAATGGAGGTTAAATCTTGCACTCTGCCTAAAAATCTAGAACTGGTAAGTTGAACAATATCCTAGCCCAGTTAGATTCTGCCTTCAAGTCCAACATGATTTCCACTGCCCACAATACACATTTGGTAACACAGAGAAAATTCAGGTCTGAAGATTAAATAAGGTGACCTGATACCTTTCCAAATTATCTTGCCCTAGTTTCAGAAACAAAATGATTCCTAAGGTGTTACTAAAAGGTCAGTATGATCACAGACAGTATGTCCCTTATACAGTGAAAGTTTGGTTTTCCACAGAAAACATAATTATATGGTTGAAGAAAACATAATTTAATGCATGACACAGAGAGAACTATAACTAATTTGGACTTTAGGAGGTAAAAGCCATGACTGTTTGCTTCGCTCTTCACTTCTAGACACTAATCTCACATAGCTGGTGCTCCAGATTTGGCAACTTCCAGAAAAAATTCATGAAGAGTCCCATGCACATGAATGAAATTCAAATGTGATATAACAAGAGCACAGGAATTCAATCTCATTGCTGTTTGGTTCACGAGCAGCATCGCGCTGTCCTCTGAGAACCACAGCACACTGTCAGCCCACGTGAACAGCAAATGCTGTCAGTTGAAAGGGGATTTGTAACAACAACTACCAAAGGAGAAAAGCATGTATATTGTGCTCCAATTTATGCTGAGAAAAGGAAACCTGGCAAACAACAAATGCTTGATATTTTAAAAGCCCTTGTTCATGGAGTAACAATACCCTTATGTTAAAAATGACCTCATGCCATCAGCAAAAAGGAAATCACAACAAAAGAACTGGCACTCATTCAAGGAAAAAGTAGAAAGTGTCTTGTTTACTCTTTAACTGTTTAATTGGGCAAATCAGACGAGGTTTGTTTCAAGAGTGGCAACTGCAAATTAAACAGACACAGGACAGAATTTACTTTTGGAAGTCAGAATTTTTAAAAGTTGAAAGAACTCTGTGAAGACATATAATCAAATTATTTCATTTTACAGATGAGAAAGTGAGACCCAGGAAAACGACAGACTTTTCAAAGGTCACAGAGCTGGTTCAGAGCAGAGCTGAAATTATTCATTCACTCGACTCTTCCTGGAGTTCACCATCTAGGGAGGATGCTGGTAAGCAAACATTATATAACAGGAACTAAGATGATAGGGATAAATACAATATGGTCTGAAACAAACAGCAGAGAGCCAAATCTTGAAAGGTTAAGGAAGACTCTCACAGAAAGTGACACTTGAGACTCAAAAATAGAGAAGCATTACCCAGGTAAAGGGAGAGGGCCTGAGAGGAGGCAGGAGAGACTGAAGAGATGGGAGGGGAAAGCATGTTCCAAGTGAAACAAGAGTCAAGTCCTAGAGGTAAGACAACACTCATCACCTAGCTGGAATTTGTAACACCAAGAAGCACAAGATGAACAATAAAAAGTAAAGGTGGTCAGCTCATGAAGGACCTTGTAAGTCACACACCATTAAAGAATTTGGACTCTGTGGCTGGGTGCAGTGGCTCATGCCTGTAATCTCAGCACCGTGGGAGGCCGAGATAGGAGGATCACTTGAGTCCGGAAGTTCAAGATCAGCCTGGCCAACATAGTGAGACCCTGTTTATACAAAAATGAAAAAAAATAGAATTTGGACTTTATCCTAAGTGCCTGTGGAAGTTACTGAAGAGACTGAGGGTTAAGAGTATTAATTTTAAAAGATGTTGCAACCTAACCATGGAGAAAGGACTGGACTAAGAAAGCTCGAGGGAAATGATTGTCATCCAAGCGACAGATGAAAGTGGCCTTCATTAGGGAGGTGGCAGTAGGAACAAAAAGAGGGAGATGAATTAGAAAGGTACTCATCATCTGAGCACTCATTACCAGAAATTACTTCATGTTAAGAGGCCCACATTTAGATGGTTATTCAGAGGACCAAAAATCATCTTAATATGAAACAGTTCTCTACTAACCACTTAGCGAATGCATAACCCTCATTTAATGGTTGTTCCATCCTCCCTGGGAGAAGAGCACTCACATCCATCGTGGACCAACTCACCAAGAGGAGCCACAGCTTCTCTCATTCTCAGATGTTACACACATTAAGAGCACAACACAATTACAATGCAAATACGAGGCAGAAAAAAAAAAAGACCCTGGGAAACTGAAAATGTTATAGAAGATGGGCAGTTTTACAAGTTCAATGGAAATTATTCTGGAGAATTCAGGAAGTATGCCCATGTCAAAGTAGGATCTGGATGAGTCAGACTAAGAATTTAAGAAGGAAAAAGCAACAGGGACCTGAAACTCACTATAAAGGAAAAGAATCTGCATTTCCACCAATTTGGAGAGGGCTCTGGGAAAACTGCTTAAGCTCTGGAACATGTTTTGCAAAAAATGCCCCTATTTACCATCTTCTGTGAAGGCTAAATGACGTTAAAAAAAAATCATATACTTTTTTTTTTTTTTTTTTGAGATGGAGTCTCACTCTGTTGCCCAGGCTGGAGTGCAATGGCATGTTCTTCGCTCACTGCTACCTCTACCTCCTGGGTTCAAGTGATTCTCCTGCCTCAGTCTCCCAGGTAGCTAGGATTACAGGTGCACACCACCACTCCCAGCTCATTTCTGTATTTTTAGTAGAGATGGGGGCTTCACCATGTTGGCCAGGCTGGTCTCAAACTCCTGGCCTCAGGTGATCTGTCCACCTCAGCCTCCCAAAGTGCTGGGATTACAGGTGTGAGCCCCATGCCCAGCCAGATCACATACATTTTTAAGGAAAAAAATAATGTCAAATATTCAGCAAACATGGGACTTATTTTTAATACATGAAAGTTGTAATTATAACCTAAGTTAACTGAACAGCAGATTAAGTGAAGTGACCTTTTAAAAAATGTTTATGATTTCATTCTTCAAGCTCAAGTATTATGAACAGTTTTTTTCATTATTTTCTATCAAACACTGGTAAATATCAAGTGAGTATCCTTCTAATGAAAATAACCTTTGATAAGATGAGCACAACCTTGGCAAAAATAGCTGCACAGTGCTGATTCCAATCCCGATCCTGCCATTCACTAGTTCTGCACCCTCTGTCTCATCTGACTACTGGGAACACCACCCTTTCCGTTCTAAGAAGGAAATGAGATGATGTCCATGAAGCCCTTGGTATGGCACCAGACACTCCTGCAACAGGTGCTCCTGGCCTCCAGCCCACTGAAGCCACCCAGTGATTACCCTGGCACTCATTCAAGGAAAAAGTAGAAAGTGTCTTGTTTACTCTTTAACTGTTTAATTGGGCAAATCAGACGAGGTTTGTCTCAAGAGTGGCA